CGCCCTGAGGGGCTCACCCTGTCTGGGGAGTCTACCTTTCCCTTTGGATGCTCCCATCCCAGAAGAGAATCCTTCGCTGTGCTCCCGCACAGAGCTACTGGCCGCAGACGGCTTGAGCCAGAGCGCAGTGGACCTTGAGCTGGGGGAAACCGGCCCGTACTGCCCTACTCCTCCGGAACTAGAAGTAACCTCCAATGACGCCCATCATCTCCCTGTCAACACCCGCAACGGCAGGCACTTCTCTTCACACTTGCTTGGACAAGCTACTGTAGATCAAACGAGCAGTCAGGGCAAGAACTTCCGGCGGTCTTCAGAAACACCTGTGGCTTGCCAGCCATCAGGTGTTCGTAACAGTCAAGAATCCTGCCCTGTAGCACCCCGGTCTGGTTCTATGCCAGAAAAGCTCAGCGAAACGCCCAAGGATAGAGAGTTTGAAGGGGGAGAAGTCAACGTTGAGCTTGAGAGTGGCCGGTCCCAGACTCTTCCATCAGTTTCGCCACTGTCCAATGGCACTCCCAGTCAGGCGGTCCTGGAGTTCGCCCAATACCTGGACTCTCTGTTTAGGCTCGATGGCAGCAGCTCTCCACCTCTCGAGCTGTCCGATGCAGAGTCCGAGTCTGGAAGGGGATCTTACAGTCAGGCGGAAGGACACCAATCGGATCAGTGTGCAAAAAACGCAGACAGTGACATGCAGCTACTGGCCAGAGCAACTCTAGAGCCCAACTTGGTTCCCAAGCCCCCTCGCACCTTTGCTGGCTCGGCCGACCCTTCTTCCGGCATCTCTCTTTCTCCGTCCTTTCCACTCTCGTCCTCCGGAGAACTCAACGATTTCTCTCCTCCTGATGGAGCGCTACCCACCAACCATACGTCGATGCTACGAACTTCCGTTGCTTGTCCCAACCCCAAGGAAACTGCATTGTCATCAATGGTGTAGTGGTCCACTGTCAAACCTCAACATATTCTGTTTATTTATTTTACCCTACTGTTACCCTACGGTTTCCTTTCCCAACACTCAGTGGGTCCACTTTCTTTGCTCTTTCTGAACCGATTGTAGAAACGTGCATGCGTAGCAACGCGGCCAGTCCGAGACTTCCAGACTTATGGACCATTAAGGATTCATCAAGAACAGAAGACCTCATTTTGTACTATTGTAAGACATGTCTTTGCTGAATGCATTGTGTCTTGTGCATCATCATTATGAAGTGTCCTAATTTCTGCCTGCAACACATTAAGTGCTGAGAGGCTCCTTTGATCACGAAAGATGTTGCTAGCATATAAAGAAGCTTGCACAATGACCATACGGTCACATTGAAACAAATGTTACGGTAATGTTTACATTGACGCCACAGAACACCAAGTTATCTCAAAGGTTGGCAGTTCCATATAAGGGAAATGCTGGGATAGGCAAAAAGGCAAGACTGAGTTACGGGGAGGGGAGCATACAACAAGCTGTGGGGTATATTTCCTCAGGATTTTCAAGAATGAAGAATGGGACAAAGATGTCTCAGGCAAAGGATAATAATTTTTTTGGGATTGTACTTTTTCATTTTTTAATTGAAGATTGTGTGGAATATCCTGCTGAGTATTTGTAATTGGTGGCACTGACGATTGGTGGACATCTATGAGTTCTTAATGTGCATGAGAAAATACTGTATGCTCGTGTAAAACGTTTAATTTTGCTAACTTTTGTCATCTCTTATTTACATAAATCCACTTGAATTTACGCATGCAAGTTTTATATCATTTTTTTTCACCCGATTGCCAAAAAGCCAACTTCATACAAGTCAAATGTTTGAACTCTGTGAAATTAATATATAATGATAATTACTATTATTATTTATTTTTACAAACCACTGCCCATAAATGCAAATGACATCAGGAAGAGATGAATGGTACAGGACATGCACCAGTCACACAATGCGCCCTTTAAATGGTTTGCCTGAATCTGCGATGCAGTACATGTCCTTCAAGAAAAGTCTCATTCGGTATGGGTATGGGTGCAATCAGTAGCAAAATAAGCATAGAGAGATTTCTTCTCATCTGCTTTTTTTAAAAATCATTTCTACTGTTGTTGCTATATTATAATAAAAAGTGGTTTATCTCAACGGCAAAATATTTTAATAACTTAGACTTGCTTTTTATATATCGTTTTAGGATGAAGTGTTTGAGTTTTTGGGTGGTTGTGTGAAAAAGTACAGCGGTTTGTCAGAACAGTTTCGCAAGTCACAAATGTGTCGAGTGACAAGTATTTTATTTTGTATGCTATTGATTGTTTAAAAAAAAGAAGTTTTTTTAGCACAATTCCCATGCTTTCATGCTTTGATCGCATGCAATAATTTGTTCTATAGTTATAGGTTCAGATTTAGCTTTTTGCCAGTTTGGCTTTTTTTCCTGCCATGTAAATGTAAAATAAATGATCAAAAGTCTGGCATATTAAGTACTTATTTTCCTGTTCTCTACTTGCTGCTTTACTAAATAACTCATTACTTCATAAACTGTGACTGCTGTACTTTTTCACAAAAAGTTGTGTTGAGCACTGCCTTTTCACGTGAGTGTAAATACTGTCTTGTTTCAGTTGTTGTGTTCAAAAAATAGATATAAAGTCAATGGAACTTATCAATAAAAAAGCTCTATCATATACCATAGTGATGACTTTATCTCAAATGTATAGCTATATTGATATATCTACAGTATAAATTATAAATAGAGAAAAATAATTACTATTCAGGAACAAAACTCTGAGACTGGCCATATGTTTACTTAAAAAAAATATGATTGAACCATCATTCTTTAAAAAAAGAAAAGAAAAGAAATAACTCTTTTCGTGTCTGTCACTATACCCTGCCAGTCTTTTAACTTTTAAGAATGAGAATGTATTTAAATGCACACACTTACACTGCCCTGCCTGTAATGGAATAAAACATATGGATCTAAGACTGACTTTGTTTCTCTTTATTAAGCTATTAATGACACTCAACTGGGTTTGTGCTTGAAACTAGTTAACATAAAGTTTACTAGATAATGGCAATATAAAATTTTATTCATTTTAATTTACTTTTTTTTTTTTTTTTACGTTAAGTGCCGTAAGCGCAGTGCCCCCTTTCTCAATGTTTAAAATAAGAAATAAATGATTAAAAATATTCCTCATCATCTGGACTCTTTCGAAAAATGTGAAGTAAAAAAAAATCTTGAATGTATGAGAAATATTACAATATAAATGTCTACTAAACAACAGTTAATCCTGTTGGTTAATTACTTCCTTTCACTGACCATTTGTTACTAGCACCCCTCTGTCTTGATTAGATCATATCTCTTCATTCAGAATTTCCTATTAAAATCATGTAAAGTTATCGCTGGTGTTCCTCAGGGTTCTGTCATGGGTCCTCTTCTATTTATTATTGACATACTTCCTCTTGGTTGCATTTTTAGGAAATATGGGTAACCATTTTTATTGCTATGCTGATGGCACCCAGCTCTATCTGTCTTCTAAACCCTCTGGTTCCTTTCTTCCACCTTCTCTGTCCAGCTGTTTAGCTGAAATTAGAGATTGGCTTTGATAATTTTCTAAAACTCAATAGCAGTAAAACTGAAGTCCTCCTTGTAGGCAGTGCTGGGTAGATTACTTACAAAAATTGTTAGTAATGTAATCTAAACCACTCATTTTAGGTAATGTATTCTGACTACTTTTTGATAACTTTTGATCTGACTCATTTATCACATTGATTTGGATAATTTTGTACATATAAAAATACAAAGAGAAAAAAATTATATTCCATTAAGTGTTATCAACAACGCGAAATTCTTTACATATTACATTACATCAGGGTTTCCCAGACGGGTTTGTGATTTTAATTAAAATGCTATTAAGTAATTAGTTCATAATTAATCAATAGATAATTTTAAAATAAAAACAACCAAAATAAAACATTTAAAAAAAATATTTGTTTACCTGTCATGTGACCATTAACCGACACCAGAGAACTGATAACTTTTTGTTATTATGTATTATTGGCTTGATTTTATTATTGACCTTACTAAGGGCCTATATATTAAAAATATTAGGGCAAAGAGGTTCAGCTGACAATAAAGTTGGGGAATCCCGGTTAAGAGTCTGGGTGTCATCCTCAATAGCACTCTATTCTTCGAAGCCAATGATACTTCATACATTAAGATGTTCACTATAGTGTCAGGCCCAAAATAAATGAATGACAGTTTCTGTGTGAATATTTCATGAATAAATATAAAACTGATATTGATTCAACATGTTTGACAGGGTAAATTATGAATTCATTTCAAGGAGACTTCTTTTACTATATTAGTGAGAAAATGTTTGTCGCATGACCACATTTTTTTTTTCCAATTTAGATTTTCAATAAATTATTCCAGTAAAAGACTATAACTGAAAATGTCAATAAAAGGGGTCTTACTTTATAATTTCTACGCCTTTGGAGAAACTCATATTTTACTTTCTATTTGGCTCAGGAAAAGAATCAAGAGTATGCATTAATATTATTATTATTATTTTTGAATATTATTTTGTATTATTTTGGAACAAACCAAATACAAGTACAATCCAAAAAAAATCTTGAACAATTAAGTAGGCCTATAATAACATTGGATGACAGCTTAGAGGATGGAAGACAACATTTTTTTTAAATAAGATAAATACAATTATATGACATATAAAGAGGCAATGAATCAAATTACGCTACATTCAAAAGTCTGTCATACAATTTCGCAATTTTTTTACATTTGATTATTTTTAATGTCATAATTAAGCAATTCAAGTCATGAAGGAAATGATTAAATTTGGGTATTGTTAAGGAAAATGTACATTTATGAAATAAAACAATTGCCAATAAAATAACTACATGTCCTATATATGCTATATCATAATTACAATGCGAGAAACAACAGTATTACAATAACAGACATTACAATTGAGAATCGGCGAATGTATTATGTATTGGTCAGGATGTAGTGACTCTAGTGAGTGACGCAGCAGTGACGCGGCGGGTCTGTAATAAGGATCCGCTCAGTCAGTAAAGCGCAGGTCAAACAGCAATACACTCTCACACACAGACACTTTATTATAGTCACCCTATACAACACTGAGACATGGACTCGGACGAGGGCTACAATTATGAGTTTGATGAGGAAGAGGAGGAGGAAGAAGAGGAGGAGGAGTGCAGCGAGGACAGCGGCGAGGAGGAGGCCGAGGATGACACGCTGGACCTGGGCGAGGTGGAGCTGCTGGACCCCGCGGTGGCCGGAGGAGAGCCCGACGATTGCGTTGACACCGGCGGCGGCGGCCTGGGGCCCGGGCAGGAGGACGAGGACTACCGCTTCGAGGTTCTGACCACCGAGCAGATCCTCCAGCACATGGTGGAGTGCATCAGGGAGGTCAACGAGGTCATACAGGTACATAGCAAACAGTTTTATTGTGATTTTTCCAACGAGTTTATAAGTTTGTTTATATGGATGACTGATGCTGTTAGCATTAGCATTAGCGAATAACTGATACGAGGCCGAATGATGCGAAATGAAGCGGGTTTTTTTTTTTTTAATGGTGTTGCATTAACTGTGTTATTTTTGGTGTTTTTGTGTTATTTTAGTGAATTCAAGTGATTTTTTTATGAGCTAAATCTGTTCTGCCAGCGCGACCCAGTTAATAGAGACTGAACTTTATTTGACAGCTTTTAAGCATATCTAAACGCATCGTATTCCTTAAGTCGTATGTTATGAGTCAAAAATCTGTGTGTTTATATGTGATTTGTTGTTGTTATTGAAGCAGACTAAAGTTTATAGCTGTCACTTCAACTAATGCTACTTGACACATTTGTTTTTAAAATTTGACAGTTTTTAAGCTTGTGATACATGTTCTCCAAACACAAACACACTTTAAAGGGATTTACATGTTTGAACGCACATTCATCAAGCATGCTAGCATCCAATTTTAGTGGAGATCAGAAAACTTTGGTGAAAAATTATAAATGTTTATTTGTACATGGATGAATGACAACCGCTGGTACCTGTTGTGTATTTTGTAAGTTTAGATCAGGTCCAGCAATATGAGGAAAACACATGAGCTTTAATGGCTTTCCACTTAAAAAGAAAACTGTATCAGTTTCTGGCACACATGTTGTTATACAAAATAAGAACATATTAATCATGTAATACTGGACAATGATGTTGAGTATTTATACATTTGTATAGCTTATGAAAATAATATATATTAGTGTTGTGTTGGGAGTTTATAAGATAAACCTGACAAAACAATACCAGACAGTTTTCCTTGGTTTCTTATATCACCCCTAAGTTGAGCTGTTAAAGGCTTCATGGTGCAATAGTGAAAATAAAATGTGTCATTTTGGATGGGCACCCATTCAGTCTCAGGTTGGCATTTGAATGAACCTCAGAAATCTGAAACCGAGTTATTTTTCTCAAAACCAACTGAAATGAAAAAAATAATTTGCTTATAATCCCTGCTGCCTGCACACGAGAGACTTTATGGAAGATTGTTTCTGCTACTGAATAAAAAATAATAAAGCCATTTTTGCTTATTTTTTTATTACGTGGTGGAAACAAGCTTCCATAAAACTTGTTGTTGCTTCCAAACAAAGGTAAAAATGCATGTATATCGGCATGTAAAATCCAATATCATGCATCCCTTGAAAATATATTTCAAGAGTAATAAGTACAGATAAATCTGATTTTCTTGTGACTAAGTTCCTCTTACAAAACTCTGAATATCTTTCGATGATTTGATTGAAAACCTAAACTTTGATCGATCCAGTTATTAGTTCTTCCTCAAAAGCGCAGACTGTGTCTAGTATGATACCCTTGAAAATACAACAGGAAAAACCTCTGCAGAAGCCCAGCAAGTTGCATAAAGTCATCCAGATTAAAGATAATCTTTTCGAACTAAACTGAGACTTGGTTTAACTAGATCTGTCACTCAATATTTTCTTTTTCAGAACCCAGCTACGATAACCAGAATACTCCTTAGTCACTTCAACTGGGACAAAGAGAAGCTTATGGAGAGGCATGTAATTTTTCTTAATTTAATTTACTATATTTATTTATTTTAACATTGTCATAAATTTGCAAAGCTTGGTTAAAGGACGTTATGATTAGGGATGCACCGAAATGAAAATTCTGGGCCGAGACCGAAAAAAAATTCAGGGCCCACTTGGCTGAAAAGAGAAAATAAATAAATTAATAATCAATTAATTATTTAGTTATCAACACTCAAATAGCTAAAACTGAGTTGTACAAACATTTAAATTGCACAAGGCAGGCTTTATAATATCAAAAATCAATAAACAAAATTATATTTACAATTATTTTTACTTCAGTTTGTTGGTGAAATATAAACATTTTCGGTAGTGGAAATTTCAGTGCATCCCTAGATCCCCAGAACTTTAAAATTCGCCTTTCTGTTTGCTGTTTGAAAGAGTTCTCTTCTTCCTCCTCTCAACATTTAAATGGTGCAGGTACTTCGATGGAAATCTGGACAAGTTGTTTACAGAGTGCCACGTCATAAACCCCAGTAAAAAGGCCAAAACACGACCAATGAGCACACGGTCCTCCAGTCAGGATTTGCCCTGCCAGATCTGCTATCTCAACTATCCAAACTCGGTCAGTGCCAGTTAGAGCCAAATGTCTCTTCATCAGTTCCTTAGAAAGCCTACCAAAACTGTGAAGTCCATTGACGTGACTCATTTTGCACAACTTGATGACTTATTCGATAGGAATGTGTGTTTCCTTATCTAGTATTTCACAGGTCTAGAGTGTGGACACAAGTTCTGCGTGCAGTGCTGGGGTGACTATTTAACTACCAAAATCATTGAGGAAGGGATGGGACAGGTGGGTTTCTGTTCAGCTCATTGTAACCTGATGTTGTATTCTGCTCCTACAATTGTATAATTTTGTTTTTCCAGACCATCTCGTGTCCTGCTCACAACTGTGACATTTTGGTTGACGATAACACTGTAATGTAAGTGCTTTTGTGTATTTAACCTATTTATTTTAAGATTTATCTGTTTTAAATTAGTTTTAAAATATTTGTTGTTGTTTTTTTGGCAGGCGACTAATCACAGATTCTAAAGTGAAATTGAAGTATCAGCATTTAATCACAAATAGTTTTGTAGAGGTAAGAAGTTCTTTATGTTGGTTGCAAAAATTTGTGTGTCTGAAATGCAAATGACATTGTGCAAATAGCACATTTGCAACTCCCTGAATAATCTAGAGATTCCTAATACCAATATCAAATCAGTATTTGATCATTTTATTTGAGGAACAATCAATTTGTTATCAGTTAACTGATAACTAACTAACTTTTGTGTGTTCAACGCTTATCCAACTAATATAAATAAACTATAATCGCAATAAACTATTTCGTTGATGTCGGGCATAAACCTTGCATGTCCAAGACTGCTACTTTTCTGGAAATGGAAAAAAACACTGTATTTTTTTAAATAATTAAACTCTGCGATGTTATTGTGGTGTTATACATGTTCAGACACTTGCATGTGCCATTATATTGTTAACATTTGACCAACATCAAGCTTAAATGGAGTTACAAGGATTTAAATACATGTTTTGTCTCTCACTATCACGCCCGCATCCGAGGCAGTAAGTGCATCGCATTATGTTTTCATCAACTTACAGATTATAAAGTTTACTGTAGCTATTTGGGCGCTCAGTTTTTTCTGTCATTTGGCCAAAATCTCATAAGATGAAGTGCTTTGCACAGGCTATTTAAGACCGTATTGGCTGTGACTCGACAACAAATTCTAGACTAAGACACTATTTTCTGCTCCTCAAATACATAAAGCATTAGCATTTATATATTGTGCCTACTGAGTAAAATAAATATTGTACTTATTCAAACAAACAGTTCGTTATTTACCGTTGCATTGCAAACAAGCAGAGATGGTCCAAAATGTGTGCTGCACTTCATTTAAGATCGAGATGGGGAGGTTTGACTGACAGTTTGAGGATCCAATGGAGTTTAGTTAAGCTCTTTTAATACTTTTTATTGGTTAAATAATTGCAAAAACTCAGACACACATAAAGGGTGGCCAACAGTAATGATTTATGAAAAAAATAAAAATGACAAAATATAAAAGATACACGGTCAACAGCGATGATATATTAACCGTTCTGATGGTAAACCCCTAGCTGATGCTAAATCTATCAAATATATGTGGTGTCTTTGTAGTTGAGCTTTCGAATGGCATGATTGTGACGTTTGGGTAAATATCTGTATGGATGCAGTGAACTGTTTTGTAGTCTCTCTCACTGGTTGTGTGTCTGCTCTTCTACAGTGTAACAGACTGTTGAAATGGTGTCCGGCTCCTGACTGCCACCATGTGGTCAAAGTTCAGTACCCTGATGCCAAACCAGTTCGCTGCAAATGTGGGAGACAGTTCTGGTAAGAGTCTGATGCAGAATGCAATGCTTTAAAAATCACTTCTGCACCTCACAAGTGATCAAGCTTAACAATTTCATGAAATGATGTTTATTATACACCGTTTTTTTCTGCTGCGCACCCTTTTCTGTCATTATTGACTCAATTGTCAGCCTTATGCTGTTTTTAATTTGTAATAACACCATATTGCTTTGAAACAACATATAGGTGAGTATATAATGACAGGATTTTCATTTTTGGGTGAACTACTCCCTTTAATTTCTTTTCTTTTTTCAATAACCAGTTTCAATTGTGGAGAGAACTGGCATGACCCTGTTAAATGCAAGGTATGTTAGCACTCATATTAGGTTAGATTATTTCCATTGTTGATATTTATAATCTAATTGATATTATTAGATTAGATTTGTCATGAGAGGTTTTCATTTGCTTTAATAATATTGCTAATCTTCTCTTCAAGTGGTTGAGGAAGTGGATAAAGAAGTGTGATGATGACAGTGAAACATCAAACTGGATTGCAGCAAATACCAAGGTACAAGGACCCCTGAACAGTCAACTGATATATATATATATATATATATATATATTTAATGTGTACTCTTACGATATTGAGTCCATAAAATTCAGTGTTCTGTGGTATGGAATACGTGAAAGTATTATTTTGAGTCCATACTTTGTCTAAAGAGAAAAGGATCTTTACGTTAAACAGGTCTGGCCATTTGTTTAACAAATTAATTTACATTTATTTTATGGGCAATAGCAAACACAGGACAAAAGTGTGAAAAATAGAATAGAAAAGCTTCACGTTTTGAAAATTCTAATGCCAGCAATATATTTTTTAATTTAAAGAACAAGGCAAGAATATTTTTGCTTGTAATCTGCAGCAGGCCACACATGCTAATAAACCTAATTTGTAATTAACCCAGAATATTCCTGTCTCATTTGGGTATTCCCGTTTTTCTTAGGAATGTCCCAAATGTCATGTGACCATTGAAAAAGATGGGGGCTGTAATCACATGGTGTGTCGAAACCAGAGTTGTAAAGCAGAGTTCTGCTGGGTTTGTCTCGGCCCTTGGGAGCCCCATGGCTCTGCTTGGTGAGTCCACTTCACCTTTTATAAATGCTTATGTTTTTATATACATATGATACATTGGAATAACATGCACGCTGATTATAGGTACAACTGCAATCGCTACAATGAAGATGATGCAAAGGCAGCCAGAGATGCTCAGGAGGTTAGTCATCATTTGATGCAACATCTCCAATATACAGCAGTCACATGTCATCCTTTATCTATCTAAATTGAATTAGCTCTTGCAGGAAAGCATGACTTATTTTGTGGTGGTGTGGCATGTATGCTTGTTCGATCTCTGGACCTATAACTTGTTTTCTTTTGGAATGAGTGTATGTTGTACCGATATTGCAGCGTTCCCGTGCAGCCCTGCAACGCTACCTCTTCTACTGCAACCGCTACATGAACCACATGCAGAGTCTGCGCTTCGAGCACAAGCTGTACGCGCAGGTGAAACAGAAGATGGAGGAGATGCAGCAACACAACATGTCGTGGATCGAGGTGCAGTTCCTGAAGAAGGCCGTGGACGTGCTGTGCCAGTGTCGGTCCACGCTTATGTTCACATACGTCTTCGCCTTCTACCTCAAAAAGAACAACCAGTCCATTATCTTCGAGGTGAGGAGGAAATCGTGTTTCATTTGAATTTCACGAAACCATGTGGTAGACTGTTTTATAGATACAAGAATAATGACCAGGTTTACCAAACACTCCATCTGTATGCCATTGGTGGGATTAACATTCAGAATATGTTGTAATAGCATCACACTGTTTACACTTCATAGAAATCAACATACCGATGTCTTAATACTTTTTTTTTTTTTTGTTTTATAAAGAACAATCAGGCTGATTTGGAGAACGCTACAGAGGTGCTTTCGGGTTATCTAGAGCGAGATATCTCCCAGGATTCTTTGCAAGATATCAAACAGAAAGTTCAGGATAAGTATAGGTGAGACATTTTTCCAAATGCACAATATTGTGTCTGTTTTTGTTTCTTAAATGCATGACATCGTGTTGACTGCTGCAGTGTTATTGTAGTATTAATTATATTATTTATTAATATTTTAATTAGCTTTTAATTTGATATGTTCAGGTTTCATTTCAGTTTTAGTTTGTTTTAGTAATTTTGTTATGTGCTTTTGTGTTGTTGTTTTTATACATATATATATTCCCCACCATGAAGCTGTGAAAAAGCACCATTTTTGAATCTTAACACATCGGGCAGGTTTGATGTCATTAATGGCAAAAACGCCATTGATTCTTGCTTGTATTCCGGGGGAAAGTGTAAAGCACAAGCACCCCAATATGTGGGATGGAAAATGGGAGGGGTATCAGTGAATGATGCATGAACACATGATGATTTGGAGACTTATTACACAGGGAATGTTATGAAATGTACACGCTAGTGATGCACTGAAATGAAAATTATTGGTTGAAAAAGAAACTGGTGATTTCTGGAGACACTGGGTTGAAAATTCTCATTATAAATGAGCAATTATATGAAATGACTACCAATTCTAATGATAAATACAAATAAAAATTATATTTATATATTCACAATTTGTTTTAATTGATTACACACTTCATTGGTGTAAATTTACAACAGTCTATTTTTAAAAAAAAATATTGTTTAAATAAATTGACAGCTGTATAGAAAAAGTTTCTTACCGTATTTTACTGATGTTGGTTAATCTCTGTCAGTGTAGTGCACTGGGATAAGCAATAAATAGGATAAGCAAAAGTACACTAAAAGTTCCTGTTATCCAATCTGTTAAAGTTTAATTTTCCATTTATGTTTTCTGCCTATTGTCTCTTTCCGGTGAAAATGTTTTATGGCATTTCCAGCAGCTGTAATTTTGGGGTATCCCTAGTACAGACCCATTTCAACTCTGTATTCTCCAGTGAAATGCCTTTACAGAAACCCGTGTGCACTGGAATGATTTCCACTACAAATCCAAATGTTATAAAGCAATCACTAATAGGAAACATTATTAAAACATTCCTAGCAAAAATGTTGAGCTTCTCACATTTGAGGACTTTTCTGCGTTTCTCCTCCCGTTTAGATACTGTGAGAGTCGGCGACGAGTGCTGCTACAGCACGTTCATGAGGGCTATGAGAAAGACTTGTGGGAGTACATTGAAGACTGAGCAAAACTGCTGCATCACAAGCATATTGGAGCAAATAAAAGCAGTGAAGTGCTGTGGTCTCCAGTCCAGTCACAGCTTTGGTGTCGGCCATCACCGCAGCCCCTCTCCATGTTGCATCCTTTTTACGTGGCATCTGGATTTTTGTCATTATCTAGAGTTTGTTCATTTTACTGAAAAGGTAGAATATTCAAATAAAACTCCTACGTCAGTATTGCAGTCTGTAAGAGTTGATTGTCGGCACGGAAATGTATTGCATTCTCCTTGCTTTCCGTGGAGATTCTTCAGTAGTCTGTTTTTGTTTTTTTAAGTGCTTTTCGTCTGAAGTTGTTTTTATAGTTCAGATTGGCTTGTCTTAAGCATAGCTTTACAGGTCTGAGCCATGCAGAGTGTGTTGTGCTTCGGGGATGCTTGGTTGGGTGGCTTTGTGTTTTGGGCGGAAGTGTGTATTTCAAGCTGTAAATAGCACACTTGCATGTAACATGGAGTGGGATGCATCTTTTTTTTTTTTTTGCAAAATATTTATTCTTTACAGATATTCAAGAATGTTTAAACAACATGAGAAGAGGCCACATGACAGTTTTGCCTCATGGTTTGTTTTTGTTTTTTTGCTGGAGGTTGAAAACCTTTCCAGAAAGTTGCACACCCAAATCAGAGGCATAGTAACAGCAGGGTAACTGTAGCCTTAATTACATGCATATATATGTGTGTGTGTGTGTGTATATATATATATATAGATATATATATATATACACACACACAATTAATAAAAAGTAGAATTTGGTGAATCTCACACGGAAATATCTGGGTCATATTTAACCCTGAAATCAAAAGATTTTTTTTTTTTAATTATATTTTGCATAAAGAAAATATAGCCTCATTTTAGAAACAGTATAATTTGTTTTTTTTTTTTTTTTTTACATAACAATTATGCTCCATTAGATTCATGAAAATAAAACCTCAAATTCTCAGTACCTTAATGCAAAACAACTCATTAATTTAGGTATTACAGTAATTATTATCCAGTCTTATTCATTTGATTTTTTTTAAAATATAAGCATATATTCAGGACAGCAGATCTACTCTGATTTACTAATTTGTTTACATTATAAAAATGAGAATTTGAGGTTTAATTGTCATGAAAATGTCAGTGCAAACATTTAATATTCAGCAAAAATATATTTTTATTTTCTTTATTCAAAATGCAATGTCTAATTTTTTATTTATTTTTTACTTTTGTTTTGGTGGTGAAATATGACCCATAAATGTTCTTGGCCGTTTACATGAGATTCAACATATTGCTCTCATTGTCTAATGCAGTTTTGGAAAGTGAACATTTTAGATGTTTGGTTGAGCTAAGATCGACTAGAACATGCACTCATACCTTTTTATGAACCATCTCGTCCTAGTTGATGTTTAGCTGAGCGTTTATCTCTTTAAAACAGATGTTATATCGAACACACACTACCAGATGTTCCATGAGAGCAAACTTGAGTGACATTCACTCACTAACAACTAAAGTCTCGAATGCTTTTACCTGTTTTACTTTTCATTTACTTTTTAAATGTACGCACCTTTTGTAGTGTGAGAGAAGGCCGATGGTATATTGAAAGCACTGTCGTATTTCTTTACATGACTGCCAAGTGGTTATGAGGCTTACTGGTACTGACTATCAAGCACTATGTGGAGTAGATATAACTGAAGCCTTGCATTGATGAGCCTGGCTGTTAAGAACAAAAAGTTGCCCTTTTCTGGTAAACTTAAAGGCAAATAGGAGCGCTGTGTTTACACTAATGTCAGAAATGGCAAGAGACAGAACGTGAGCATATGTGACACTCGTTGTTTTTGTTATTTTTATTCTGTAAGAGCTTACCGGCAAGTCACTGTTTGTACTTCCTTTAGGTCATTACTTCACACTGTTTGAATGCATGGTATTCATTCTCAGTGCATCAAACATGTTTGCATCTGTATTCGGTTTACAGCGGCTTCTACTAATTCTAATGTCACATTTTATGTACTCCTTGATTGGCACCTGGAGTTTGTGCTCATGTTTTATTAAACCCTCATTTGGGGGGGAAATTGAGGAACGGCAATGTTCCCTGTGCTGACAGATGAGATTTCTTCACCAAAGTGTGGATTAAAAATGAACAGTCTCTAATTTAGAGAAATGTTCATCTACGGTGGCTTTCCTGTGTTATAACCATTCTTATTAAAAAAAATGTCCTATTTAAATAAATCTCATTCAAAAGTATTTGGGTGGAATCATTGTTTTATTTGGTACTACCTAAAATGTTTGAACAGTTTGTCTAGTCATGCATGGTCATTATAATTAGTTAATATATACATGTATTACTTCTGTATATTTATTTGGTAACACTTTAAAAGAAGGTTTCATTAGTTAACTACTTTAGTTAACATGAACTAAGAATGAACTTCTACAGCATTTATTAATCTTATGTTAATTTTAACATTAACTAATGCATTATTAAAATCGAAAGTTGAATTTGTTAACATTAATGCAATGTGAACTTGCATGGAAAATTAACTTATTTCTTAGTTATTTTTATTAACTAACATTAACAAAGATGAATAAATACTGTAACAAAAATGTATCGCTCTGTTAGTTAATACTATAACGTGCTCAAAATGTTGCTGTGTTGCAGATAAGGACGTGTTATTGTTAAAGGGATAGTTCACCCAAAAATGAAAATTGTCATAATTTAGGCTTCTCACCCTCAATTCTTTCTTCTGTTGAACACAAAATAACATATTTTAAAGAATGTTGTTGGTAACCAGACAGTTGACGGCACCCATTGACTTCCATAGGAAAGAAAAATACTATGAAAGTCAATGGCTGCCTACCGTCAACTGTCTGGTATTCTTTTGTGTTAAACAGAAGAAGGAAACTCTTAAATGGATCCTGAACAGATAATAAGTACCAGTAGGGGGCGCAATATGCTTAATAAACGCGAACCAGAAAAATAAAGGAGGCTCTTTCTCTGCTTCCCTGTCCTCTCACTGCGGATGGGTGCGGCTTCACATCACTGCAAGATTTACCGCACATCATTTTAATGCATGCATGCTTATGTTTATCATACCGTATGAAGCCTAGTTAAAAGCATTGTGTTATTTCCACACTAATATAACCCCCTAGAGTGTAAAAAACGCATCCCTCATGAGGATGAGTGGTTAATGTATGAGGTTGGGAAATGTGTAAAAGCAAAATATGCATGTAAATATATTCAAATGTACATCCTACAAATATAAAGACAAAACTAATTTTGAGGTAATAAGTGCTGCTTTGAAGACCCTCCATTAGGTTGTTGAATTGCTAATAAATGCTGTGTTTTTCTTTATGAAACAGGAACTACTCCTTCACACACACTCTACAAGTGAAGCCACATAGCATGTTAATGAAATATTAACTTAAACCTGTGCACTAGTTGTCAATCATCCGCCATGCTATTACTTCCTCTTTTGTGGTTCTCCAAATGCTTTAAACAATGTCGAGAATGGGCAAGGATGCATTTTAAAAAGACCTATACCTGATAGCCATACATCAGAGAAACTCACAAGAAATAAAGCCTCAAGAAATAAGGCCTCAGGGCTAACAACAGAGCTGTGTGGGTTTAAACGCAGCTCAATGGGAAGAGTGTGTGGTTTGAGTGGTGTGGTGCAATGCTGTATAGGGGAAAACGTGGTATTGACTAAGCCAAGTTTGATTAAAGCATGCTTAAGTTGATTTTGCAGACAGAATTTTGCATAGATTGCAACATAGGGTAGCCTATTTTATACTTATAGCTACTTTTGAGTTTCACAAGAAGTGTGATAGACTATTTTAGCAAAGGCCTGTGTTGGTTTGATGACATTTGTAAACCAGAATGTGACTTCTGAGTGATGAGCAGAGAATAAAGATAAGTTCTCAAAATGAATATCCCAGCTTGTACTAAGGTCAAGATAACAGCAATCTGACAATCTTATTTTAACCTAAAGCCTTTTACCCAGAACAGAAACTAAGTGGCCATCTTTAAAAATATCAGAAGATGTGGTATAAGTGAAGAAACCTGGTTTCCACAAGAAAATCTCCAGTGCTCACTGGGAGTTACAACCTTCATAAAAAGGTATAATTCACATCATCTGTCATTGTGCTTGTTATGTGTTTAGGAAATGACACATTGTGACGTGCTCCACACCCCCATGAAGTGCAACATATCTGCGGATATGTCCTTTGGCCTGCTTGTGCAATCATGGGGACATTTAAATGAAGGTTTTTATACTTATTTCCACTTTACATGAGCTTGTTTACTAAATACTGTGTGCTAAATACAGTGTTTTCACAAACTCATTTTTTTGCCCTTTTTTTTTTTACTTGGATAGAATAGTTATATTTATACTTGTGTAGCATATGTAGTTATACTAGTTGTACGAGTTTACCTTGCATTTGCATAATGCAAAACACAATTATGCTTTGTGAGAGTATTATTTACAGCTTTCTTTGTTACCAGTGACACGTGTTTTGTTATAAATGACATTAATTTATTTGTAGACAGCCTATATTTCCCTAATCTGTCTGCGAGTTCAAATTAAAGGCCTTAAGCAAATGCAAACATGAACATTTCTAATAATATTTATATAATTAATTGATAAAAAAAAAAAAAACCTCCACCAATCGTGTCAAATTTGTATGTCTATCTCGAGTTAGTGTGGTTCCTAAAGACAGCATCTTTGAGCATTATAGCTTAGAAGTTGTCAGGGTGTGAATTATGATGAGTTTTTGGAGGGCTTAATTTGAGGCCTGCTAAAGCCGTCAAAAACATATAATTGGAAGGTCTGGTTTATTTTACGTATACATTTATATTCACTTTAAAATATTTTTATAACATTTCAGTAACCTCGGAAATCATTTGACCGAGGAAGTAACCACTCGAGCTAACTCGAGGGGTGCTTACGAAATCACACTATAGGCCTAGTAGGTGAAAAACAGTAGCCTAATATGTGACAAAAGAAGCATGTCCGAATTCACAGTACTCATAAAAGAGTGAAAAAGTACTTATTCAAAATAAGAACCTACCCAAGAGAGTAGCTATGAGATTTCAGACGCAACCCAATTCTTTTTGTTATGGTGCGTTCACACCATGACATAATTGCTTAACGATTCTGACCTGTAAAAAGCCTTCACGTGCTTGTAGAACTTGTACGTATAATTACAAGTTCTACATGTGATGGCTTTTTACAGTTCAGAATCATTACCGTAATTAGGCCTACATGGTAATTACCGTACGAAAGTACAAGTACGTTATATACAACGTGTAGCCTAAACTCCTAATTTTCTCAGAGCTACGACTTGTTATACGGTGCCACTGCATATTTAAGGTGTGTTCGACTTGAAGAGGCGCTGTGCAGACCGTCACCAATCGGGTGTATGACATCAAAGTACCGCGAGAGCGATTCGAAGCTTTTTTCCGGTGACATGGCGTGAAAGCAGCATTAATTTCTGGAGGGAACACTGAAATGAATCTAACTAAACATGAATACGGTCATTATCACGTCATTGTTCATTTTTAGTATCACTAATAAAATACTTTGTAGTTTTGTTTAAAACATCTTTCAAATAGTTGAGGTGTTAGGGACGCCAAATGGTGCGCGAGATGAATCGAAATTAGTCCAATACACGTTTAAGGCATTTTATACCTCGCACACTAAGAGGCCAATCTTAGAGATCGAATTCTTGGCGTTCCAAGCTGGTTCCAAGGCTATCTAGATAGGCAGCTCACTGTTGTTTTGAGACGCAGCCGTGTGTCTCTTGGCAGCGGCAGAGACTTTTGGGGACTTACCGGAAACCAAACTTTTTTTTTTCAAGCCTCAAACTTAACTGTTGAAGTCGAAAGAGGAAAAGAGCAGCAGAGAGTCCCGTTACATTTCAGACTCATACACAGTTCCTTGTTTTTCATCGTCATGTTGGATGTGAGAAAGTTGAGACGAAGAGATATCAACAGTTTTAACCCGAGATAAAGTCCTGCGTCGAGCTTTTTCTTTTGCGCATAACGGGATCTTTGTTTTTATATCATGGAAGATGTGAGTATTTCATATAGCTTTCTTTTTCGATATACATATGGTGTTTTACAGGTGAAATTTAAAAATGCATAACAAACTTTATTTAAAATAAACAACCTTCGTCACAACTTTTAACCCCCATTATTGGCGACGTAGCCTACGTGAAGTAAAACTCACTTTAAAGTGGAACTTTTTTAAGTAAAACTCACTTGACTTAGTGCTGTTACTGTTATTCTCTCTCGGAAACTAAATGTTAAAATGGTGGGTTGCATCACTTGTTTATTTGAAGCGTCTTTGTGAACTGAAAAAAAAAACCTTAATGTAAATGGTCCAACAGAAGAATCAGTTTCAAAATATTTTGTTCATCAGATCGAGGTGATGTAGCTTTTAGATCGGTACCAGGAAGTGAAGTACTTTAGGAGCATCCAACGCCCCTCTAAGTCAAAGCTTGCGTTTGTTAACGGACAGATAGATAGATAGATAGATAGATAGATAGATAGATAGATAGATAGATAGATAGATAGATAGATAGATAGATAGACCGACAGACAGATAAATGATAAATAGACAGATAAATTATAAATAGACAGAGCAACAGACTGATAGATAGATAGATAGATAGATAGATAGATAGATAGATAGATAGATAGATAGATAGACAGACAGACAGACAGACAGATAGATAGATAGATAGATAGATAGATAGATAGATAGATAGATAGATAGATAGATAGATAGATAGATAGATAGATAGATAGATAGATGGTTAGTATTGGTATGTTTTTGATCCTGTTCCATCCATCCACCCATCCAGTGGTATCTATCTATCTATCTATCTATCTATCTATCTATCTATCTATCTATCTATCTATCTATCTATCTATCTATCTATCTATCTATCTATCTATCTATCTTTCTATTTATCTCTTTCTATCTATCTGTCTATCTCTGTCTGTCAGTTAAGGTTTGTCTGTCTGTCTGTCTGTCTGTCTGTCTATCTATCTATTTATCTATCATCTGTCTGTCTCTATATTTTGTTTTAAACTAACTGTAAACTAAGTGAAACAAAAGCTTAGATTTCTGCCAAAAAGATTCTCTTATTTGAAGTAGTTGTTTCAGGAAACGTTTACTGAAATGAGGAAGTAACGTTGGTCAATGGTGCTGGAAGGCAAATCTAAAACCGCCATTATTAATATGTTGTGTACACAGACATAGCTAGCTTTTGATATAATGAGACAGCATTACCTTGACATTAGTATGCAATCTTGGTTATGATTTATTAGAGCAGAAGTGTCCTGAGTTGAAATGGGAATCAATAGTGACATATAGATGTTTGTGTCAAGGTATCCACTTGTGTCTTCAATGCTGCCTGAATGGCACTTGTGTAAATCACAGCCAATTTGATGCCATATTTATCTAACCCTAATGACAGCATGGAAAAACATTCCCAATTTAATGTGGCGTTAAGACAAAGACCAGCTGCTGTTGTTGGTCATAGTAAGTTTTGGTTGTTGTAGGACTACATCTGTGATTTATATACTTCAGACATACTTTCTGTTCACTGTTTTTTTTATTTTATGAAGATCACCCAGTATTCGCCTCTTAATGAGGCTTCCCTCTTATTTTTCAGCTTGTCATATACATTTAAAAGCAGTACCAGTAAAAGAGCACTTGTATATTATTTTTAGTCATTTAGATTTTCACTATCAGCCTAATGTCTCCATCCCTCCATGAGCTACGACCATTGTAACCTTGAGCAAGGCACCCAAATCCCACCAGGACTCAGACCACCCACAAGTCCGCTCACTAAACATCTGATGCATTTTGCATACAAACATTTAAACGCTTTTGTCTGAAATACATAGTAGCAAATAAAGATGTATGCATTAGCAGAATTGTGTATTCAGATTTGAAAAGTTACCATTACACACCATTCAAAAGTTTGGAGTCAGTAAAATGTTTTAACATTTTTAAAAGAAGCCTCTTATGCTCTCCAAGGCTTCATTTATTTGATCAAAAATACAGTATAAAATATAGAAATATTGTGAAATACTATTGCAATTTAAAATGTAATTTATCCCTTTGATTTAAAGCTGAATTTTCAGCATCGTTACTCTACAGACTTCAGTCACATGATCCTTCAGAAATCATTCTAGAATGCTGATTTGCTGCTCAAGAAACATCTTTTATTATTATCAATGTTGAAAACAATTGTGCTGCATAACAAATTTGTGAAAACCATGGTACATTGTAGAATTTTTTTTTTTTAATTTCAGGATTCTTTGACAAATATAAAGTTAAAAAGAAGAGCATTTATCTGAATCAGAAATCTTTTGTAACATTATAAATGTCTTTACTGACACTTTTGAACAATTGAATGCATCCTGGCTGAATAAAAGTAACGTACTGACTCACAACATGCAGCGGTAGTGTATTTTTTTGGGATCGACAGAAATTCGAAATATTCTACAAATATTTCTGCTAATTTCTTTTTTACAATGATATGTAATTGTTTTAATGACTTTTTATAGTGGTATCAACCATTTCATATTTACCAGCCCCTAAATAGCACATCAAAACAAAATGAACTTTGGTTGGCCCCTTTATATAATGGAATAAATACGCGGTTCTTGACCAAAACAAGCTGCACCTACAGTATTTCCATTGCAGGGCTCAAACCATCAGCCTTATACATTCTGGCTCTGAGTTTGAGCCGCTTGGCCACACCATGCACCCACTAAAAGCAGTAAGATGCAAAAGCACTTGCGCATTCCAATTGATTCCTTCTTTGTTAGGATTGACCTGGTTTCACACCGACAGTTTTCCCTGCTGTACCCTTTCTGTTAAGCTATTGGTAAGAACTAGTTTAGCGAGTATACTTTATTCCTGTAAAATCTTTGGTTACTATTTCCTCTTTTATACTTCTCTTATTGGTATTCATGTTTTACACTTCCCTGCTGGAGATTTTGCAGATATCTACAACGATACTGCAACAGTTGTTTGGGTGGACAGGTTTCCATTTGTCTTTAGACAACTATTATTTATCGATGGAAAGTTATATGCTCGCCAAAACTTGCAGTTTGAGTCTTTGAACAGGTTCAGTCGCTTTGGTCTTGAGAAGAACCGCACACAGATGATTCATATTTAGATGTGTAGCGAGTTGACACCGGCCAGGTCAGCGCACAGCATAGGGCTCTGATATTTGACCCAGATGGAGCTTTGTGCATGCATGGCTTTTTGTATGTGAAACACATGATTGCTAAGATGTACTGCACTATACAATAATCTAGAGAATAGTAGTTTATGAGTTTATGCATGAAGCTTCTAGCATATTCTGCATTAGAAACCAGTTTTAAAGGTTTTTTTTTCATTTTGGAATATTTTGGAAGTGTAGATTTCAGTGTCTGAAAGTCAATTATGTATTGTTTTTATGACTTTGTCTTATGTTAACTGCTATAAGAAGCTACTTTTAAAGTAGTTTAAGTATTATTTTATTTTAATATTATTATTATATATTGTGTGTTGTTTTTTTGTCATCATGACTTACATAAACTGCCTTAAAAATCTACCTTTAAAGAAGTTTTATAAAATTATTATGAATTACTTTTATTATATAAATCGAGGGTGAGGCCAGAAATGTTCAAGGGGGTGGGCCTTCATAAAACTGAGTGTGCCTTTGCTCAGTTTTTGCGTATGAAAACTGCATGCCAAATTACCAAGATTTTTTTTAACTCAGCACAGTTTCAAAATTTCAAAACAACAACCTTTAAAAAAATACACTGTAAAAAATGTCTTAACTTGAGTTCTGTTGCTTCTTTAAATCAAGTATAATCAAATTAGCTTTTACAAGTAATTTCAACTTAAATTATATTAAAACTGACTTAAATCCAGTTGAATCTCGTATAACTTATAAAACATAAAGTTGACATTGCATAAATTATTTTTGAGTAAAAGTATGTTTCCATGACTTATTGACCATATGATTTTTTACACTGCATGCCAAACACAATAAAATGGCTCTTCCTATCAAGTATGTCACTATAAACGTTGTATGAATTAATGTTTAGAAACTTTAGAAGTCAAAAGAGCCCAAACCTAAGGCTCTATGATATTCTAGTCCCTAGATAGGTCTCTAGTTCCTCCATTTCTGGCTCATTTTATCAGCCACCATGTGAAAATCATATATGATCACGTTTTCATTAGCACAAATGTGACAAGTTATACTGCAAAATGTATCGGGTGTTAATGATCTTCACAACCCCAGTATGAGCAATAGCAATACTAATGGTAGCCTCAGCACTATACCACTAATGAAACTTCTCGCTTTCTTAAATTATCTCATCTAGTACTGCAAGTTCCTGTTTGACTAAAGTGAGGTTAACGCATGTCTTGGCTTATTTCGTGCTTTAAAACATTGTAAAACACTGCATGCTCTGCCTCACTCTGCTTGGGCTCCTCTGTTTTTTCACAATATGGATTTTTCCGTCCCACCCAAAGACTCCCTCCCTCTCTCTCACTCTTTCTTTCTCTCTCTCTCTCTCTCTCTCTCTCTCTCTCTCTCTCTCTCTCTCTCTCTCTCTCTCTCTCTCTCTCTCTCTCTCTCTCTCTCTCTCTCTCTCTCTCTCTCTCTCTCTCTCTCTCTCTCTCTCTCTCTCTCTCCATCGAGTGCGTTGTGATGTTCCTGTGCGCTCTGCTCCAATTTACACACAAACAGAACGAGAAAAACAAAGAGGCTCCCTCAGGCTCCAATCTCCTCCCTCAGCACAGACAGTGCGAGGGCATGAGTGACCTGTTGCCTATGTTGGTTCCCCGGACAGGGCAGTGTGAGAAAGTGCCCCCCCCCAAACCCCCCATTCTTCACATTTTCCTCCCTCAGACACCTGTACCTTCTATAGCACACGCTGCTCTTTCCAAAGGCCCTCAGTGAAAGTGGAAAAACAGCTCAATGACCCTCTAAAGAGATATCCTGAGGAATTTCCTCGCATTGAAAATTCCTGGGAAGTCCAAATACAGCTGCAGTGGGGTGCATTTGATTTTATTAATCTAATAATATACGCACAACTTTATTCAAAAGGCATACGACTATATTTGCCTGTATCTTGTCATGATGGTTAGAACAAGATTTGGCTTCATAAACTAATGCCTTGCTTCCCACAAATGAAAAGTTGTTATCTAAAGAGGAATGATCAGATGTTATTTTTTAACTAGACAATGTTCCTGCCCAAATTGCAAAGAGAATCAAGAAGTGGTTTGTGAACAAGTCCATCAGGCTCATGTTTTGGCCTGGTCAGAGTCTAGATTTGAACCCTAAAGTGAATATTTGTTCCACATTAAACTCAAATTAACTGAGACACTTTTCAACCACTTATGAACTGTTTGAAGCCATTAACATTGAGTGGAAAAAGACAGTATTTGTGCAATTCTTGCTAATTTCCTGACTAGTAATTTAAATGGTTAAGACCATTAAAAGACCACTAAATACTTTGGCTTGGGCAAATTTTTTTTGCCATGGTTTTCAGTTTTTGTTTTAATTTCAGACCATTTTTTAGTAAATTTGTTATGTTTTGTAATTTTTATTTATTTATTTAAATTTTTCTATTTTAGTTTTCTATTTTATTTATTTCCAATTAGTAATTTTAGTGCTTTGACATTCAACAAGGCAACATTTATAAATGTCTTCATTTAGTTTTTAATCTAATATGTTTTTTTTTCTGATTAATTTCATTTACTAAAATAGTTTTCAATAGTTTTAGTTTGTCAATGATAATAAACCTGCTTCAATGTTATTTTTAAGGGTGTGATCACAAGTAATATCGCACCTTCAAAGTTTAAGATCGTCAAAAGTCGTGAGAAGGCTGTGAAAAATGAAACGCAACAGATGTGGAAATAAGGCGTCATCCGTCCCTTTTATTAAGTCTGAAAAGGTGTTGAAGGTCACATGAAACCCAGACCTGCCAAAAATGATAATCTATCCGCTACATGCAAACCTCCCATTTCAGGAATGCTCTCGCTGGACTCAGATCTCAATGCATGCCAAGTCAAACTGAAATGTTGTTTCACTAAGAAATGCTGATTCCTTATTCCTTGGCAAAACAGGGTGTGAAAGAGGAGCCAGCCAAGCCTACAGAGGTGAGGAGCGCTGGGAAGGCGGGCTGGTTGAAGAAGTCTTCAGGGAAGTTCTTGAGCAGCTACAAGGACCGGTACATTCACCTGGACCGAACAGTGATTGAGGTCTACGAGAATGAGGTAAGTCTGCTAAATCATGATGAAACCTAGACTATGAAACAACAACCTCGTTTTACTTCCATAATGTGATGTATTTCTGAGTAAAATATGGAAGTCAATTGGGCCCATCAACTCTTTGGTTACTGACATTATTCAAAATAACTTCTTTTGTGTTCAGCAGAGGAAAGAAACTTATTCAGGTTTGAAACAACATAAGAGTGAGTAAATGATGGCACACATTTCTGGGTGAACTATCCCTTTAAGCATAACATTGGTTAACAATAGCCTCCTGTGTCAACGGAAATGGGAAATGGAAATGGATTTTGTCTCCATAAGAATAATGTCCACACATTTTCTAGAAAGCTAGTTTTTGTTTTTGGATGGATCTTTACTGATTTCCATCCCAAATGCAAAGCACAACGAATTTAGATTTATCATTAGCCATCTATGCTTTATCAAGTCATTTCAATTGAGTTCTTTTCTCTGCCAAGTTTTGAGTTGTTTTGGTGAAATAAATAGTTTTAGTACAACAGTGTACTCAAACATCTACCTTCACTTGAAGAATGAAGACATAACACTCCGTAAGAAAGCAAAATCACAAATGAAATCACTTAAATGTATTTTTTTCTCTCTGTGACAATGAACTGATTTTTTTACTCTTTCCATTTTGCCTATAAGGAATTTAATTTGACTAATTATGTTTAATTAATTTGTTAAATTAAATTTCAGTTTTATTTTGTATTTATTTTTTTATTTAATTTAGTCATTTTAAAAATTACATATTCAAACGTTTTTAAAAATGTTTAAAAAAAATATTCTTCATGCCTTAAAATAGCTTGAATGTAACTACTCCCTTTGCCTTATTTAGTATACGCGGTTTTATGAAGATGTTGAAAATATGCAAATATATGCAAATTAGCCCGCATCCACTCACTCACACTAGCCCAGAGATCCACTCGTTGACGTTTACACATTGACGTGATTGGTTACAAGGTAGTTTGTGACGTCAGAAACACCAGCGATTTCAAACCGTGTTTTTGAAACTGTCTTTGGTTCACTGCAGTTTTAAGGAGAAAATACTCAGCAATAGTGTCGACTTATGCATTTGCACATGGTTTGTCTTAAAGCACATTAAAAACACCACATAGACACGTAAACAAAACTTGATTTTCACCTCAGGGGGACTTTAATTATTGGAACCCATGAAAATTCTGTCGTTTACTCACCACCATCTTTTTAAATCCGTATGACTCTCCTTCATCTGTTATTTTTAGCAGAATGTCCAGGCATCTTTTTTTCATACAATAAAAGCGAATGATGACCACAGTGGTCAGATTTCTGGATCTGTTCTTAACACACACAAAGAGTCTAAAATAACTGATATGTAGTGGACAAGTCATAATGACTATGTTTAGTCTTTATGCAGTGTGAACATTCTGCTAACTGTTTTCTATGGAAGAAAGTCAGTCATACAGGTTTGAAACAACATGAGTGTGAGTGAATTATGACAGAATTATCATTTTTGAATGAACTAACTATCCCTCTAAATGGAACGTAGCTAAAACTTCATGAATTAGCAGCTTCCGAATAATACATTTTTTTGGTTTATCCTTTTACAAATAGAACACTTTTCCCTGTCGTGCAGGAATTAACAACATGCCTGGAGAAAGTGGACTTGGACAACTATGTCACTTGTCACGAGTTAAAGAGTCCTTTCAAGAAGAAACACAGACTGGTACTAATACGAAGCCCCAAGAGCGGTAACAAGGTAATAATTAACATTTCAGCACAGTACAATGTCAAATACATCAGTCTACCATTCCTTTTGTATGTGATATAAAGAGTGGCTCACATTAGGATGACAATGCAATACACAGTTGTCGATGGCTGGCTTGCAGTTATGACGTCATTAGTTCAATATGGCACGCACTAGAGGCACACTAGGTCATTGTACTGAGTCTAATGAATCAGACACATATCTGAACGGACACATGACCAATGATGAGGCAGTTACTCATGCTCTGTGCCACTTCACTGGTTTCACATTTACTGTAAATAATGACAGAAAGCATATGTGAAAGGTCGGCTGTTGCATGTTCAAAACAGCTGAGTCGTGCTTGTCTTTGTCCTTGGTGTCAAATATTGCAACACTTATAAAATGTAAGATAAAAATTGATAAACATCCTGTGGTTCATCCGGGGATATCTTGTTCAATGTTTCAGATTTTTCAAATTTTATCTTGGGTTTGTAATTCATACAGTATGTTTTTTGGCACTGCACTTCACGATTAGCACCACAAAGGTTTCATAGCCCAGTTTTCACATGTTTCTGACTTTTTGTTAAAAAGTCTCAACTCAGGTTTAAAAAAAGTTAAAATGTTAACCCAGTCATCATGAGAAAAGCAAGACAACCTTAAGCAGAGCATCACTTCCTGTTCTAGTGTTTATATATTCAAAAAGGCAGAGGCAAGATATCCTGTATAACCTTGCAAATACTTGTGGTATATCAAAACAGCCGCAAACCATAATTTTTTCACTTTCTAGTGAAAAGTGGATTTTCCTCCATAGACTGTATGTAGAGTGTGTGTATATTGTACATATTGTATGTAAATTAACTAAAAAATTAGATTATTTTTCTTACACTTTAAATAATTGTGTAATTTAAGTATTATTTATATACTTTTAAAGTATTTAAATTTAAATTTGTATTTATTTTTACTTTTATTTCAGATTTAGTTTCAATAATTTTAGTACTTCAACTTATGTTATTACAGTTAGTTGGCAACTTTATAAATGTTCTAAGTTTTCACTTAATAGTGTACGTAATAATGTAAATACTTGTAAATATAATAGTAAATATTGAAAATAGCAATAATGTAAATAGTCATTGTTTATACTTCTTTTAATGAGCACTTGAGATGGTTTTACCAATTTATAATTTAATGTTATGCCCCACAGAAATGCATTTTAATTCAGAAATTGAAAGCTTGTTAATAATAGAAGAGGTGTATTGAAGTCATTGTTTGTATGATTTACATTATTAATTTATTTTTGAATAAATTAATAGATGTGTGAAAAAGAATGTCACATAATTGACCCAGATACAGTTTTAAGGGCATTACATGTTTTAAAAATATTTAAGCATTCAAAGATTTTTTCGTTTTGACAAAAAGATATATACCGGTATATACAGTTTTATTTTAAAGATTAGATTCACTTTATGCTTGTAGACTGCTGGATTGTGTTACTGTGTGTCAAACTGTTGTTTCCTGGCGCATTAGAGTTGATGGTAAATGATGACTTCATCCTAAGGGAGGGAAATGCACATGACATAACTTTCAGACATACCGGTACACAGTATGTGTCATACTGCTCTATGTGCCCATATCTATTACAAAAAGATCTAATTTATTCTGTAAATATTAATAGAATTCTTTAGCATGTTCAGTATATTTAGTGTTTACTATACGTGAATCCATGTGCACTGAATCTAGAGAGTCTTGGAGGTGGGGAGAGGACTTTAGAAATGCGGAAGATACCTAACTGGCGAAATATGCTTTATTACTAACAGATGACGAGAGCGAAGCGTTGGCGAACTGCAAAGAGCTCAGCAGATGTCAAGAGACTTCTCTAGAAAAGAAAATGTGTGTGTGTGTGTGTGTGTGTGTTTAAAGAACAGCCAGACCATCATGTCACATTTTCCTCTCCTGAATATTGTGACCAGCCAGCTGAATGAGTCAGATACCACAGCCTAGTGTTTTATTTTATAATTAAACGTCAAGTACTGTAGTTCTTGAAAAGAGTTTAAGATTTAAGAGATTCCAAACCCTCCTGTTTCACTTTTTTTATGAATATTTTAGGCACACCCTACTCTAAGAACATAAATCTTTTCACTTCTTTTTTTTTTTTTTTTTTTAGGTGACTAGTACTTCGGAGGCTCATGCTGAGCCTTGCAAAATACAGGAAGCTAGACACAGTTCATCATATAAACCTAACACAGCTCAACAATGGGACATAAAAACAAACATCCTACAGACAAATCTCTTTGTTTTTTTGATGATGTTTCCAGTATTTAGGGATGTTCATCGCAAAACATAAACTGGATACTAGATAAAACCTTCATAGAGTACTGAATATATTTGTTAAAATGTGGTCTGCAGGTAATGCATGTGGTCCACCATAATATTAGGTGCGGGTAACATGACATTGAATCCAGGGTTATTTCAGAATTTTATTTCGTAAAGAAAAGTGAAATAGGTTTAGCATGTGCAACTGAAGCTGTCATTTTTTCAATGTTTTATTTATGTGTATGCATATACTATTTTCAAAGACTGTGTTGTGTTCATTTTAGGTCCAAGATGTCAAACTTCAGGCACAAAATCCTGAGGAAAAAGAAGCCTGGATCAAGGCACTTGGTGAAGGAATCGATAAGGCAAAGAACAAAATTTTTGATGAGGTAGTGTTCATTGTTCAGGTGTTGGACTTTATTGTGATATTTGAAGACACTTCTATATAAGTAGGGCCATGCCATGCAAAAAAAAATATATATATATATATATAAAGAACGTACCAATCCTTACATGATTGTGTTGCATGAATGACCATAATTACAGTTACTTATACCAAGGTAGCTTATTTTTTATGTTTTATATCTCAGGTAAAAGTTGATGAAACCTGCTCATTAGAACATGTTACTCGGACCCGACCTAAGGGGAACCGTGGAAGAAGACCGCCAACAAGGATACACATGAAGGAGGTACGATATAATTGTTTCAAACAAATAAAACATTTACAACAGCCTTTTAACATTTATCATCCCTGTTGGAGTATAATTAGGGACACATAGATACAATTTTGGCCAATAAATGGCTCATATTAAAATATCATAAATGCGTCTAAAACTATTAAATACAAAAATACTGAAAGATAAAATAAATGCTTTTAATAAATTAATAAATGCATTAAGTTAATTTAGGCGTCACAACAGCATAATGTAATATAAGGTAATAAAGGAAATGAGCATGCACAATTAAATATACAATAATGAGCTGTTTAATGCTTTTGAAGAAATATCTTATGTTCACCTAGAATTCATTTATGTGAACAATGAGCAGTCTTAAGAAATATTATTACAATTAAATATATTTTTTTCTATTTTATTATATTTTAAAGTGCATTTATTTCCTGTGAGGGAAAGCAATTTTTTTCATCAGCCATTAGTTCAGTCTTCAGTGTCACATAATTCTTCAGAAATCATTCTAATATGCGGATTTGCTGCTCAATAAACATTAGTTTTTATTTTCAATGTCTTTACTGTCATTTTTTTAACTTAATGCATCCTTGCTGAATAAAAGTGTTAATTTTTTTTTTATTATTTGATCGTACTTATCCAAAACTTTTGAATAGAAATATAGGTATTGTGAAATCTCTGAGTACAATAATCCAGCAATATCCTCTAAATATACTATTCTGGCTTTTCTTACAGGTTGCGAATGTCTCAAGTGATGGAATATTGAGACTGGACCTTGATGGTGACGTTACCATGCCGAATGGAACTCATTGCTTGAATACAGAAGAGGATAAACAAACTGAAACTTCGAAACCATCTGTGACAATGAACAGCATTCAAGAGGAGTGCATCGATGAAGAGTCCACACCTCAGAAGAAAGTTATAAAGCCACCCATGCCGCCATCGAAAGACAACAAACCCTGTGAAATCCATAAAGAGGATGAGCCCAAAAATGAGGAAGCTGCACCGCAAAAGAAGATTCCAATGCCACCGATGCCTCCATCAAAGGAAACTAAACCCTGCGGATCTGTTGATGAGGCTGCTGTTGAGGAGAATATCTCAGACGGTAAAGTAGAGGTTAAAGCAGATAGCACTGACACTTCTGAACGAACCCCCTCCACCAAGAGCGTCCAGCCCCCTAATCCTCCATCCAAACATATGAAGCCCAACCAACCGGTAACACAAGCCACAGTCACAACAGAGGAAAAAGAACCTCAAGAGAAAAACGAGGAGGTTGACGGTGAAGGTACCAAAGTGAATGGAGCTTCAAACGACAAAGAAGACCAGAACAAGTCAGAAGAGGGAGAGACCTTTGTTGTATCCAAAAAGGTAATGAAACCCCAAGTAGTAATGTGGGATTCACCCTCTATGCCATTAAAACAACCTAGTGCTGAACAAGAAGTGAAAAATTCGAAGAAAGCCTCAGATACGACTGGAGAAGTGGCAACCTCGGAAGAACCTTGCCAACTTAATCTCACTCCACTTTCGACCCCTGAATCTGTAAAAAAGAGTCCTGGTCCCCCTGCTCCACCCAAGAAGAAGCAATTTAAGGCATCTGCCAAAAAGGAGGACAGTTCCCCACAAAGTGGCCCAATGGTCCTTACCGACACCACCATTTTGTCTTCAGAAAAGGTCTCAGAGCAGTCTTCAAAAACAGATGACATCAAATTGATGATTCCAGAACCCAAAACTGAGCCTGTTGGTGATGTGTCAAGCGAAGAGTTGGAGGAGAAGTCTTTAGACAGTGGTCAACACTCAGGAGAAGAGTCTGAGACTGGTGACCAAGTTACGCCGTCCTCCCCAAAGCTCAAAGGAAGCTCCCAGGCACTAGATTTAGAGACCAGCGAGGATGATCTAGAACCATCTGACAGCAAAGCGAAGAGTTTGGAGGAGCCATCGTTAAAAAACCCGTCCACCACCCCAGAGACCTCAGTTCCCAGTGCAAATCCAACCCCAAGCTATTGTGCCAACAAGTCCCCGTTTCTCTCGATGCCTCTCAAGCATTCTTCCAAGTCTCGCTCCGCATCTCTAGGAGACCTCCTTGGGGAGGACGCAGAGAAGGTGGAAATCAAGGGAAAAGAGATACCAATAAAACGGCATGGAAGTGACGTGAAGGACTTGCAAAGCAAAGTGTCTTTTGAGATAGAAGCCACGGGAGATATGCTGAATTCAATCGCAACTGGACAGAGTGGAGAGGCGGAAATGAAGGTGGAAGCGAGACCAGAGATCTTGCTCAATGAAGCAATGGAGAAGCTCAGGAAAGCTGAGCAGTTCTTACGGGAAGCCAGGAGCCTTAAAGATCATAACAAAAGCAACAGATTAAGTTTGTAATGGTAAGTGTGTGTGGAAAGAACCTATAGGGATGATCTATGCTGAAAATGTACAGTATGCTAATGATCAAATGCAATTCTTACCCCCAACCATTTTCAAATCTCTAAGCTTCTATTTAAACCTTGCAAGGCTAAGATGCCTTACAGTTTTGCTAATGTAGCTACGTAGCCTCTAGATGGTGATACTGCAGGCCTACGTATTGTTGCAAGGCTGACAAACCATTTTCTCTCCAAAATAAGTAAAAACTCAAGAGCTAAATTTGTACATGCTACATTTTATTTTGTGGAGAAACAGTTAGTTAGCTCACCTGCTGTAATGTCAAGTGTGTTTTTAGCTTGCTTCAGACTCGCTTTAGGATTTGTTTCTTATTCCATCAATTTCCTAATGATTTTGGTCTTAGTTATATATCGCACTTTGTTCTGTAGATTTGAAGATGTGTTTTACACAAAATGTGTGCCTTATGTATCAGATGACAAATCCCCATAAATAACATGTGCACATAACCACTATTGGGATAAGCTAGCTTTTTACGCTAACACGTTTGTTGAACGGTTGATGTTGTATTTTGAATTTTGCACTGCAACTCCTGTGTAAAAAAAGGAGTTTAAAATTATGTGTGAAGGGACATTAGACATTAAGTTAGCTGGTGAAAATGAGAAATCGAGGAGAGATACCGAAGTGCTTTTAAAAGTTGTACTAGTATGTTTTTGTTCACAAGCCCTAATTTCCCACTTTAAAAATACTGTAAGCTATTGCAGCCATTTTGCTAACTAAACTGAATTAGACCACCCGTCCCTTTAACCACAACTCCGCCTTTCAAAGCCTTCTCAGCCAACCCGAATGTGCGCGGTAATTCACAGGGAGATTTTTCTGGAGATTGTTTTCTGATTGGCTGCTCTCCTGACACTTTTTTTTTGCTGTTTACAGAGCCAAGACAAAGAGACAAGTGTTTTTCTTAAGACATCCATTTCAGTGAAAATAATAATAATTACAGCACCTTTAAACCTCGATGATCATAAAATACCTAAAATATAATAAATAATGGTTAATCACAGTTTAAAACAAAATATATAGCACATGGATATATATATATATTTCCTGGTCCATGTCTGTTGTGAAAGTGCAGGCCAGAGTTTACAGTTAGTTTTCTGTTTTGTGTTTGCATGATGACTATTCAGTTCTGAATGATTCAGAGATGTTTTCATCACATTTAAAATAATTCATTTGAAATGTATCAGATATGAAATCATAGTAAAGGTGAATGATTATGACATTATTCCATGATAATCTTTGAGACTACCCAATCTAAAGAATATCCATTTTACTATTTAAAATGTTCACCAATACAGTACAGTTCTAAAGTTTGGGATCGGTACGATTTTTTAAATTCTTCTTTCATAATCTCTTATGCTCACCAATACTAATTTATTTGATCAAAATACAGTAAAAACAGTAAAATTGTGAAATATTATTATTATTATAATTTAAAATAACTTCTATTTTAATAAATTAAAAAATGTAATTTAGTCTTGTGATGGAAATTATTTGATATTATCTGTTTAAAAACAGTTGTACAATGTTGAAGCCGTAATAGATTTTAATTTTCATGATTCTTTGATTAATAGAAAGTTCATAAATGTCTTTACTGTAACTTTTGATCAATTTAATGTGTCCTTGCTGATTAAAAGCATTCATTTCTTCTTAAAAAATCTTTCTGACCCCAGACTTTTGAACGGTATTGTAGGAGTCACAACTTTAAGTTGCAACTGTGTTGAAGCTTCACCCAGTTGTCTTCATTTTCTGCCATTTTCTTTTTCTCAAAGTGTTTGCACATCATGGTAGCACTGCGAAAAGACACATAATCATGCAAACACTGTACGTAAATAGTCTGTCCATTGTAATCTGTCATACTGATGATGTGGCCACAGCGGTTCACTCTTCACACAGTCTATTAATAAACTACATACTAGCTTCCTGCTGCCTAGCCCAATCGTCATGTCACCTTTAGTTTCTTTATGTAGAGATAGCCGGTTACCATAGACCATATATAAGTTGTATTTTTTATAGGTAAACGGTTACTGAGTGTCTGCAAAACCAACTGGTAACATCAAGTTAGTTTTACTTCAAATTATTGTAGACCTAATAAAATCGAGAATATTCCCATGATGAAAAGTGTTGTTTTTTTGTGGTACCATTTTGTTAGATATGATCTTACATGTAAATACTCTTTGATATAAAGTATAGTCTTTGATAATGAGATTCATCTTAGTTCTTTGTCCTTTGCGCAGTACATTTCTTTTAGCGTTTAATTTCCCAATTTCCCTCTGACGTTTTGAATTGTACTCTGTATTTTTAATGCTTGGTGAATATTTGAACATCATGTTGTAAATAACACTGCCGCCAGTGAAATGCTTAATATTTAAGTTATTAATGTTCTGACATATTCATGTTTGTTGTCTGTCTAAAACAAAGCTTAAGAACAAATTTAGAATTACTGTTTGTTTACTGTTAAATGTTTACTATTGAATTTTAAAGAGGCTGATGGTTATATTAGTATCTGTTAATTGCATTCACTAACTGGACTAATGTTTTTTTTTTTTTATCTAAATGCATATTAAATGTGCAAAAATGGGAAATAATTGCTTTGCCAGGCATGTCTAAATAAAGACAGAATGTCTTTAATATTCACTGTGTTGTCGGACTCTTTGTGGCTTTTTCTTTCCATTTTAATATATTAAATATTATATGCAGTACCGTTGAAATGTTTGTCATGTATATATTTAAAAGAAATTGGTGCTTTTATCACTTGCATTAAATTAATCAGAGAATGTTTCAAATTAATGCTATTTTCTGTTTCTCCAAAACTGTTTGACTTTCTACTTGAACGGAGTTGGATTAGTCTTTCTAGTTGTAGGTTTATTAACATTTCTTTCTTTTATACACACTATTTTCAATGTTTGTGTGTATTTCTAATTAAATCAACTGAGCTGCATCAACTGAAATACAAATGCAGTGTTCGAGCTGTATACATGCACAGTGGTACACAAATACTTGGTCTGTTTAGAATTTACTAAAACAGGAAGTGTTTTATATACAGAGCTTTTTGCTTTTACCATGTTTTTTTGTGATGTCATTAACTGGGTTACATAAACAGAGTAAATGTGAGTTACAGGAATCAGTCTGGTGGGTGTGTGTGTAGAAATGGGCAAGTATTCTGCTTTTTAGCCTAAAGAATCAGTTCCCCATTATGCTTTAGAATTGCAAAATGTGGAACTGATCAACAGAACACTGCCTGCTTACCACAACTACACAGACCAAAGACAGCCTACCCCTTTTACGCATTAAAAAAGCCCTAGGCTAAAGTTTCAGTGTTGCTTTGCAATGTCAAAAGTCAATCTGAAAATGTAACATTAAGATATCAGGAGCATGTAGGCCAATATGATCCTGAACTTTACAGCCTTTAATATCCAGACATTTTCATTAGAGTTGCTATAATGTTGTTTGTTACACATAGCATCCTCTATTAACTCTAATTTTTTCTTCTTTTTTTTCTTCTTTTCCTTTTATAGAAGTGATCTGTATTGTCCTTTTCTTTTGTAGTATCAAAATACAGTGTAGATAACAGGCCTTGAGTTTCACTCGTCGCCCTCTGCTGGTATGATAGGAGTTGTTTTTTTGGAACAAAGTCTGCTTTGTTTCCCTAGTGACTGTTTTGTCATACTACAATGTGCACATGAAGCCACATTTGAAACAGCATACTATTCTAATTTCTACCTATATTTTAAATATTTACACAGTATGCATCTAAACACACACACATGCATACAGTATAATTTATGTGTGATGTAATGAATAAGGAATAGAATTAGAATAGAACAGAAGTAACTAGAAGTAATGTGATTTGTAACATGACTATTTAACCAAAAAGCATTGATATTTTCGAGATGATGACTGAATGCCTGCACGCTTACTATTTTAAATGTTTATTGTTGCATGCAAACTGTATGCAAAATAATTTTTTTTAAAAGGCTTAAATGACCTGTTTTTATGCATTGCTGATTTTTTTTTTTTTTTGCAACATAACATTTTGATCATTTTAAATATTTGCACATTGAATATTGGATTGTTTCTCTATCCAGCATGCATTGCTTAAACAGTTATGCAACAAATCAACTCAACTTGTGACTCACAAATGTTAAATGGCCTATTAGCCCCAACAGCTGTGCATGGAAAAATGAAATGGGCCAGAAATTAGTTTAGGAAGTTAAGCTAGCGAGAAACCTGTCACCATGACATACAAAGCAGTATGTGAGTCTGCAGCTCTCTCTAGTGGAGGTTTCTCATAATAATGGGTCACAGCTCTTTGTGTTTAAACAGGTCAATGTTTGTCCAGCATTCATGTTAGTTTACTCAAAACCAACAGGCAGAAAAACAAGCTCAATTGCCTATTGTTACTCAACAAAGATCAAATCTGATAAGGAAATAGATGCATCATAAATGAAGAATCAATCGATGAAAAGAGTCTGATAACAGTGAGTAATGAATTCAATTATTTGGAGAAGAACAGAAAATTAAATGATGAGATCTCATAAATGAATAATATACCATGAGCAAATAAACTCAGAAAGAGTAGCCTATAAAATGGTGTAGCACAGTATTTGTAAAATCATATCTCATAATGTATTTGAAATCGTATTTGTCCTTACAGTATTATTTTATTTATTTAGCAAGCAAGCAAATCAGGAAACCATAGGTTACTATTGGCTACTTTCCTTTAATTCACAGTTTAGGGGTAAGATGCTTAACATAGTAAAAGAAAAAACATTATTGGCTGTAAAGTGGCAACGAATGTATTAAAATACATAACTAACATTTGGTCTTTGGAACGTCACAAAGCAACGTCTACACAACCTACTTAATATTCATTAACTAACAATCCGCCATTGAACGTAACTTTTGCCCAATGTAATTAATATTTAGAATTACATACTTCGCCATTGGAGGGACAAGAAGAAACGTCAGCACGGTGTATTTAATATTCATGAGCCTTCGTTCGCTTCAGTAGGATTCGTCATTTCCCAAAGCGGCAGGCTTGAGCTCGGCTGACTGAGGTTTCAGAAACACAGCCGAACATCACATCAAAAGATGAAAATGTAGACATATATCAGAAGATGCGAAGCGGAGACATAACACACCATCAATCGATGACGATGGAAGACGGACTGGTGTCCGAAGACGATATATGTGAGTGTTAAAACAGTGAAGTGACAGTGTTGTAGTGCGGTACAGACAGAAACTGGGGCAAGTGAGAGAAATATATTCAATGGATAAACATTTATCATCTCAATGTATGAGTAGGTGGCTTATAAAACCAACTGTGGCTACTAAATAGTTACTATTAAAAATGTTACTATATCCTAATAGACAAAAGAGACTCGTTTAGTAGGGCTGGGCTGATTTGTCAATTACAACCACCTCAAATGTAATATAAATATTTTGTGACCATACAATATATATTATATATTTTAAAACCTTTACAAGGACGCCACTCCCTGCTTGAGATGTATCTATAGTTGAGTGATTTAATAAGCACATATCTCTACAATTATGTTTAAAATTTACAGTAATATAATTTATAATCTAGAAAGAGATAATATCTGGAAAAAGAACAGAAACATGAGATATGAATTTTGTTGATGCATGTGAACTTCATGTATGCTGCTGATGTTTGTACTGTACCTGTATACACCATATATAACTCCTGTAACCTTCCACTCATTTCTCTCAAGTGCTTTGTTCAGAAAAGGAGTTTCATGATGCTGCGAAGAGGAATGACACTGTCAGAATGCAGGAGCTGATAAGAAGAGGGGTGGACATCAAAGTCAAAAATAAGGTGAGATATAGCCAATACTGAACCAACAGAAACATACGTGAAAATTGCAAATCTACAGGAACTGGTTGAGGACTGACACGTGCACAGTTGGTTATGTACATTATTGTATTAGATATTTAACTTCTAGTAAAATATGTTTAAAAATGCCTCAGGATGTTTGAAATAATACGTTCATACAAATGCTAAATAAACTATGATGTGTGTACTTCTGAACATGGTGACACAGCAAAGCACGCTGAACAAACTGTACAGGAAGCTGTGTCAGAGGAAGTTATGTTGCCTTTCACCATGCCAATTTCTCTGCCTGGAATGTTTTGTTTTTCCCAGTTATACACCAGTGTCGGACACACACATATTGTGGTCCTCAGCACAGGATATGACCCTTATTTTACCCCAGACAACAGTATTATTTATCACCTTTAACCATGGTAAAGCATGGCTCGTCGTGAGTCATTGTGACTGTTTCATTTAATATGTGATTTTCATTTTACAGATGGACCGTAAGGCCCTGCACTGGGCTGCTGGAGCTGGCAGTGAACAGGCCCTGCGTCTACTGCTAGACCACGACATGGATGTGGATGAAATGGACAGCGTACGTGTCAAATGCATTCTGTACGCTGCCAAACTGTAACAGGGAACATGTTCAAATTTAGTTACATTTTAGTTACATTTTAGGCTGAATATTTTATAAAGTTTCATGTTTATTTACTGTATGAGCACAAATGCTGCTCCACCTGGTAAATTTTTAATGGGCTGCTGTTCATTCACCATGTGGCCTGTACATTACTGGAGGCTATGAGCTTGTTACACCAACAACAATAGTTGAAGAGAAAAAGAGTGGCCCTGAAGTGCAAGGCAAAATATCTTTAGATAACCGAGTATGTTGGTGAGTGATTTAAAAAAAATGTTCTTTTATAAAAAGACATTTAATTTTTTGATTAAAAATACAATGTAAAGTGAAAGTGTATAGATACTGTAACTGGTCAAGGTTTTTTTTTTTTTTTTTAAGTACACATAAATAGTCCTCCTGAGGATGACAATTATTTTTGTATAGTAAAAATTGTCTATGTCCTAGGAGGTCATAAAAATTGTGTGCAGAATAGTTCAATTATTTTATATAACTACACAGAAAATTAAAATGATCTGAAAAATGCAGTTCATAATAAAAATAAATTTAGATAAATTATAGCTTGTCACATCAACTGGCCAGTTACAGTCTGTCAAAGCATTTAAGTGGCATTTCATATCCATATTCTACACACGCAGTGCTGTTCATACGCCACTGGTGAACTTTATCTGAATGGGATTGTTATCAAATAATGAAAGGTTCAGTAAGCAATTTCTGAGAAACACTGTTGAAAGTGGATTGGACCGAGCAGCACAACACACTTGTAGCCAATCAGCAGCAGGGGGCGTGTCCACTCATGATGAGGGAGGAGAGAGAGTGAGCGAGAGGGAGATTTGAATTGAAGAAAGACTGTAGAAAGATAGATGGCTGAGAGACATTACAAAAGAGAAAAGGTCAGAGGAATATCACAGGAAAAAGAAGGGTTATGATCACACAAGAGCTTTTGGACCAGCGTTAATATTATATTATATTATATTATATTATATTATATTATATTATATTATATTATATTATATTATATTATATTATATTAGCATTCCAGCATTGGAGAGACTGAAGCGGGAAGACCTGAAATCAGATGCAGAGGTTGCAATTTTTATGCTCCTTGCGTGAGTAACAGTGCTTTTGTGTGTGTTGCTGGCGACTAATGACAAACTCTTGCTTGTGTTTACTCTTGTGTACTGCATGTTAATTTTTTTGTTTTTCCTTGTTTTTGTTTTATTTTGCTTTGCTTCTGCTATGATAAAGAGACATCCACTCTTGCACTCTTGCAATGAAGGGAGGAGTGTGTTTGTTTTGGGTTGATTTCAAATATCAACAATGTTTCTCAGATATCGCTTACTGCAGCTTTAAGGAAAAAGTCAATTTAGGCTAGTGTTATTTTAGCTTTTGTTCATTATTATAGTTTTTGTTAATATTTCGAATTAAATATTTTCTGCTTTAATTTTAATTTTAGTTAAAGTTTTAGTAATTTTGTGTGTTTTTTTTTCAAATGTATTAATGTTTTAAAGGTCTTTATTGTTTTTATTCACTTTTTAGTTTATTTAGATTTAGTTGTTTTAGTATTTCAACTTAAACTAAACTAAGTTCGTTTATTTTTATTTCAAGTAATGGAAATGTTTTCTATGGTTTTAGTTTGAAGTGCTGATAATAACCATGCTTTAGGCTAATATCATTCTTCAAAAGTCATGTGACTGTATAGACATTCTTACTTGTTTTCCAGTTTGGTATGAATGCTCTGCTCTTGGCGGCGTGGTTTGGTCACCTGTCAATCCTAAAGATCCTTGTCTCAACCGGGGCAAAGCTCACCTCTGAAAACAAAGTAAGGCTCTTGGTAAAAATCCTTGACAAGTTTCAGATATCTTATATGAAGACAGTGGTAGCTTCTCACTCAATGTGCTCTGCTCACTCACCATACAAATGGGATTGTACAGTTGTACTGCCCTAGATACAGACTTCAACATTAATTTCAATGTATCTCAGTGACTGAACTGTCACATTTCTTTTGTCCTCAGAATGGCTTGAATCTTTTGCACTGTGCTGCCCAGAGGGGCCACATCAGTATTCTGGAGTATATCATGGAAGATCTGGAAAATGTGCAGCTTAATAAAGTCGACAAGGTGAGAATCTCTTTTTTTTCTCCCCAATACCCATGATCTTGAAGTGTAATGTATTTTATTACAGAGATCTTATACACTTATAGTACACGGTACTCTGCTGTTGCGTGTTCTACATACTCACGCTTTCAGAACCGTTTGCAATCACCAAATAGCCTACATATACACTCACCTAAAGGATTATTAGGAACACCATACTAATACTGTGTTTGACCCCCTTTCGCCTTCAGAACTGCCTTAATTCTACGTGGCATTGATTCAACAAGGTGCTGAAAGCATTTTTTAGAAATGTTGGCCCATATTGATAGGATAGCATCTTGCAGTTGATGGAGATTTATGTGATGCACATCCAGGGCACGAAGCTCCCGTTCCACCACATCCCAAAGATGCTCTATTGGGTTGAGATCTGGTGACTGTGGGGGCCATTTTAGTACAGTGAACTCATTGTCATGTTCAAGAAACCAATTTGAAATGATTCGAGCTTTGTGACATGTATGGTGCATTATCCTGCTGGAAGTAGCCATCAGAGGATGGGTACATGGTGGCCATAAAGGGATGGACATGGTCAGAAACAATGCTCAGGTAGGCCGTGGCATTTAAACGATGCCCAATTGGCACTAAGGGGCAATAAGTGTGCCAAGAAAACATCCCCCACACCATTACACCACCACCACCAGCCTGCACAGTGGTAACAAGGCATGATGGATCCATGTTCTCATTCTGTTTACGCCAAATTCTGACTCTACCATCTGAATGTCTCAACAGAAATCGAGACTCATCAGACCAGGCAACATTTTTCCAGTCTTCAACTGTTCAATTTTGGTGAGCTCTTGCAAATTGTAGCCTCTTTTTCCTATTTGTAAGGGAGATGAGTGGTACCCGGTGGGGTCTTCTGCTGTTGTAGCCCATCCGCCTCAAGGTTGTGCGTGTTGTGGCTTCACAAATGCTTTGCTGCATACCTCGTTTGTAACGAGTGGTTATTTCAGTCAAAGTTGCTCTTCTATCAGCTTGAATCAGTCGGTCCATTCTCCTTTGACCTCTAGCATCAACAAGGCATTTTCGCCCACAGGACTGCCGCATACTGGATGTTTTTCCCTTTCCACACCATTCTTTGTAAACCCTAGAAATGTGCGTGAAAATCCCAGTAACTGAGCAGATTGTGAAATACTCAGACCGGCCCGTCTGGCACCAACAACCATGCCACGCTCAAAATTGCTTAAATCACCTTTCTTTCCCATTCTGACATTCAGTTTGGAGTTCAGGAGATTGTCTTGACCAGGACCACACCCCTAAATGCATTGAAGCAACTGCCATATGATTGGTTGATTAGATAATTGCATTAATGAGAAATTGAACAGGTGTTTCTAATAATCCTTTAGGTGAGTGTATGCTAAGCAATTGCTTTGATCTAGTGCGGATAAATTATGACTACTTTATGTGTAATCTATTGTGTTTATATCATACCTGTAAACTCGTCACATTTCGACCAGGAAAGTGTCGATGGGATTTTCTTTTCATCTTACCTCAGTATAATGCCTAATAACGTAGTGTTTATCAGCTGGTTTGTTTACAGGGGTTGCCAGTGTAAGTGAATACTGCTATTATCCTGCTGTTCCATAGAGCCATATTTTACCCATATTTTTTATGCAGCATGCGCCATGCACACAGTGTTGTAAATGTTAACCTGTGTATCAACACAATAAATTATCGACATAATAAATAATTGACAAGAAGCTAAAATAATTACAGGGGCCTCTGGTTATCTTACGGCGCCCCTTTTCATGACGTGTTTTGGCGGATGGTGGGACTAAATATCCTCCACAACTGACTGCAAACTGGCATTCAGATCTGCCGCCATTTAGTTATCTACACCCGACTTCCAACAATCCAACAATCCAATCAATTTCCCAAAGACTAAATCAAGTCCCGCCCTACTTTTTTTTCTCATTCCAGAAACAGCTTTCCTCGTGTAATATACGGAAGATTATAGGGAAGAAACGACTATTGGGATTCCCTATAGCGAATATGGGGAAGAATATGGGGAAGAATTGCAGCTTCTATTTCATGCTGACTTTAAGGTGCTTTTACACTAGGGAAAGTTTTGAAAGATCATTTGACTGATATGTGTAAGATCAGTGTTTGTGAGTGTGGAAAGAGTTGACACAGTTTGTCATATTTTGATCACATGACATTTTGATCAGTTTTGCAAAATATCGGGGTTTTCTTCTAACATACTGTATTTGCAGACCCTTTAAAACAAAGATTTCCAGCATTCTCTGATCCATGTTGTAAGTGGTAAAAGTCTTTTGAGGCTCAGTTTTATGATTCAAGTCCCGAAAGTAGAAGTGAGCTGTTTTTCGTTTGAGAGTGATAACGACCGTGATGATTGCACAATGTTCATGCAAATTTCAGTTAAACATTTTCAAGGAATGACTTTGAAGAATTGACTCAAGGAAGAGTTTTGTTGACTTAAAAAGCAGACAGTAAACAGAAACTTTCAAGCAGAAAAAAGGATGAAGACTTCTTTCTTGTTCAATGTAATTCATAAATAGTAGGACATGACAACATTTTATCCATTACGTGTGGATTTTTTGTTTGGATTGCTAATATCAAATTGATTCACTTATATTATTTTTCTCTGTCTCTACGGCTTTTGTTACTCAATTCAGAGGTGAGGAAAATAAATGAATCGTGCACAGTCAATATGGATTGTGGGACATCTATTATGAATGTCAATTGTGATGTAATGTTGTCTTTAAAAATAGATTTGAGTGTTTCCAGTTGTAATGAATTTATGCTATTCATTACACACACGTTTAGGATGAGATTTTGATGATAATTAAACCATTAATACCAATATCACATGATCAATATTCTGGAGTAAGTTTCATTGTGCTTTCTGTCATAACGTTTTTATTACCCAATGAAATGTAATGTTAACAGCTGTAAAACATTTATGGACAGTAATACATTATTTCCTTTCTAAAGTGTCTCCGTCCTTCGGATGAGAAGTGAAATAAATGCATATAAATGTAATGAGTTATTAATTATCTGTTGTGTCAGTCAGGTAAGACGGCGTTTCATTTAGCCACAGAGCATGGACACCTGGAGGTGGTGGAGTTTCTCATTGGTATGGGCTGTGCTCATGATCTCAAGGACAAGGTGAGGGTCACAGATGCACAGACGCTCCTCAGTGTGTGCTAATTAGATTTTCTCTACTACTAAACTCAGCAAAAAAAAGAAATGTCCCTTTTTCAGGTTACTGTATTTTAAAAATAATTTCATAAAATCCAAATAAGCTCTACAGATCTTTCCTGTAAAGGGTTTAAACAATGTTTTTCATGCTTCTTCAATCCACCATAAACAATTATTGCACATGCACTGGTGGAACAGTCCTTTAAGTGTACCTTCACCGATTTTTAACCTGCTTTGTATTGGTATGTTGGTAGTATATGTAAATTAACAATGTTTACACTTTCTCTGTGTTACCAGGGCCAAGAAATTCACGTTTATTTGTTAGCAAAAGTCCGTCAGATGACGAAAAACGCGTAATTCAGTAACATAATTCTGACAGCTCTAGGGCTTTCATTAAAACTACAGATAGTACTTATGCATTGTTGTATCCTCGCCCACGGACATTCGCAAGAGCTACTGTAAGAGTAGGTTTATCACTGAAAACGTACTTTGTCTACTCTTTAAACAGCATTATGGTTAAAATGGAACACTATGGCATCAGCTTTCTTACCTGTACGCGACGGCGTTTGGCTTCGAGGTGTTGGGTGGAACTGATGGAACGGCAGTTTCTTTTAGTTTTATCCCCTCCGTTTGGCCTAAAACACTGTGTTCGTTGTCATCCATTTTGAAATGTTGTCCACAAATACTGTAGATTTTTCAGATTTTCCGCAGTGGCGTTCTCTCCATATTTACGATTCGAAACGTTTACTCTTCGTGCACCTGGGAACAATAGAAAAGTCGAAACCATTATGACTAAAAGTTTGCTAAGAAGGATTTCCTACTAAAGCAAGGTGGTATTTGACTGCATCCATAGCAGACTGGTGGGAGTGGCCTTGGATAGCAATATGCCCTGTGCATTATGGGTGTTGGAAGTTTTGCTACCTATTTGGCAAAAGGGAAGACAACAGCCCTTTTTCTCTGTTTTCTCTTGACAAGTAGCACCAATTTTTTTTAAATGACACCTTTCAAATGCATAGGCAGCTAAGTTATATTGAAAGCCCATTTTGCCAGTGTGAAGTACCCCTTTAAGACACTAACAGTTTACAGGTGATAGACAATTAAAGCAACACCAAGGAACTTTTCCTCTGCGGTCGCCCTACAGGTTGGAAGCGGAATTGTCCATTACCGCTGTCGTAAATAATTTAGCCTACCGCAGCCTACTGTTGCACGCGCACGCACGCTGTTTATCCAGCACCGGCTTTGGAATCAACAATGGCCACAGACAATTTGAGGAAGTGGTGGGGGAAGTGACGTATGCCGTAAAGCAGTCGAATTTTGTAGTTCTTTTTGTGCTCCGGTTACTACCCGAAACCCGAAGTTACATAGTGCAAGTAAAAGCGATATACAGACCACGTCAGGCTATGGCAGACATGTCATTTAACCTATTCTAAGTCGATGTACCATCACAAGGGTCTTGGAAATATATTATGAAGGTTAAAAAACTACATAGTGTTACTTTAACATCACAGTTGCAATAACTTAGGACACTAAAGAGACCTTTCTACTGACTCTGAAAACACCAGAAGAAGGATGCCTACTAGGGTCCCTGCTGACCTGTGTGAACATGCCATAATCCTGAGGCATGAGGACTGCAGATGTGGCCAGAGCAAGAAACCGCAATGTCTATAAACCGTCTATAAACAATGTCTATAAAGCAAGTGCCTTGGTGGAAGAGTGATGTATCATCTCGCAGCAAGAACTGGCAAATCTGGCTCAGTCCATGAGGATGAGATTTTACACTTAAAGCAGCTGGTGCCACACCAAAAACTGGCTGATACTTTTGATATTGACCCCCCTCTTTGCCCAGGGGCTCATTATTCCATTTCCGTTCATCAAATGTCTGTGAAAATTGTTCAGTTTATGCCTCTGTTGTTGAATCATTTTATGTTCACACAAATATTTTCATGTTAAGACATTTGCTGGAAATAAAAGACATTTCTTTTCTTTTTTTTTGCTGAGTTTAGATGCAAAATACCAAAGTAGAGACCAAAGTAGAGACCAAAGTGTGCCAAACATGCTAAAGTGAACCAAGTAAAAACTGTAGACTTAAGTTGTGTGACACTGTGGTGTTGATATGAGGTCAAAGATGTGTGCATTGTCATATGTTCATGAAATGCAGGAGGAGAACACTGCACTGCATTTGGCAGCTAAGCAAGGCCACAGCGACGTCCTACAGAAGATTATGGAGACCGGGGAGAACATTGATGAAAGAAACATTGTAAGCCTCACTCCAATTGTAATAGATTTTTTGGTTTAGTGTCGTTTATTTGCTTCACATCTTCATCTTTCATCAGGACGGCATGACTGCTTTACATTTGGCAGCTGAAGGGGGTCATTATGAGTGTATCAGACTGTTGCTGGAGGCTGGCTGCAATGTCAATGAACTTACTCATGTGAGTACAATCTTTTATATTAGCAGCAGTCTTCATCATAACGAATGAGGTTTTCAACGTGTTAATGGTAATGCTAATGTGCTTCTTCTTATAGAGCAACAGAACGGCTCTTCATCTGGTGGCCCAGCATGGCTCTGGTAGAGAGGTCGGACTGCTGGTACAGGCTGGGATCAGTCTGGATTCAGTAGACACCGTGAGTACTAAAAAACTTCAGTTGACATTTCAACGCCACAACCTGCATTCAAGAAGGATAACATTGACTGTAGAGCAGGAGAGAATGTTTGAGGACCAAATTCATTATGGTTAATTAAACACATTAACATACGCAGGGTGCTCAAAATGTTATGGCCATGGGTTTGATTCTTAGGGAATGCATGAACTGACAAAATGTATACCTTGAATGCAATGCAAGTCTAAGTCACTTTGGGTTAAGTATCTGTCGGGTACATAAATTATATGTAAATGTATATTTCTTTTTGTGCCGCCTTCATTATGAACCTTTATTATGGATTCAGATCTTCTTGCCAACATTCTGTGTAAAATAACAGTTGATGATTCAAGTACTGCTGACTTAAAAATAATAAATCATAAAAATCGCATTAATAAATGCCTTCCCTTTATATACATAATTATAAAATTATATAAAATACAGCATACTGTATATATGTGCTCATCCAGAGCACATTCCATAATGCCCACATCCAGACAGTAGACACTCCCATCTTAGGGAAAAAATACAACAACAAAACTAAGTGACCTGATCACGATGAGGAGGATCAGGATGTGGAAATTGTGGTCAGCACTAATTTTGTGGGTGTATTTGCAAATTTATCTGATTTACATAATAAGTGAATCAGGTCTTAAAACGTCACAAATATGTTATCATAAGACTACAATTTTATTTTTTATTTTTTTCCGTATGCTCAGGTTACTTTTCTTGCTGAACAAGTGTCCACCCGAGTCGCTTTCACATTCATGTGAATCGCGCCACAGTTTAACCGAACCGAGTGCAACCGAACTCAGACCACCTCTCTAGTCTTGGGTTCGGTACCCCTGTGCGCACCCGGGTCCGCATAACAGCTTTCACATTACCAGTTTTTTAAACCGTGCCCCGTTTCGAACTAAACTGCCAGTGTCAAAACGGGTAGATTCTGCTTTTTACTACCCATTGTACTTCATTATTCTATTCCATATTCCTTGCCAGCAACATACTTCAGCTCTACACCTGGCAGTACTCAACAACTCCACAGGAATAGTGAAGGATCTTATCAATGCAGGATGCGACCTGGACATCTTTGACAATGTGAGTGTGGTTGAGTTTGAGTGTGGTTCATTTCACATTTACAAATGCAAACGGTGATGATTTCAGAGATTTTGAAAATGGCTCAACAATTGTTCCTTACAGCGGCTTCAAACTGCTTTGCACATAGCAGCAGAACACGGATGGCTGAACATCGCTGAGATGATCCTGATATCTGGAGTCAACCTCAATCTACTCGACAAGGTGCAATTTCCTGTTATCATACATGGGTGTGGACGATATATTTTCATATTGTAATACAATTCTGATCAAACAATTAAACAAAACATGTTTACTTTAAATGTTACAGCAGAGGAAGACATCACTTGATGTTGCAGCACGAGGCAACCATGTGAATGTTGTTGACATGATTATCAAAGCTGATAGATTTTACAAATGGGAAAAGGTATGTTCAATGTACATTAAGCTTAAATTAGTCTTATTTAATTGTTATCTATCATAATTAAAGATTGTGTGCTATTTTTAACGTGTTAATTTGCCCTCCAGGAAAATGTGACAAGTGACTCTGACTCTCTGGTGGGAACGAGTCTTACCTTTAAGCAAGACCATCAACAGGAGACACAACATATCCGATCCGTCCTATGGAAACTTTCTTCAAAGTATCTCAAACCAGGCGAGTGGAAAACACTGGCTCGGCACTGGAAGTTCTCTGAAGCACATATTCGAGCCATAGAGCACCAGTGGACAGGTACACCATCTAATGCTGTGATCTGCTGCCAATATATAAATGAAAGCTTTTATTCAGCAAGGGTGCTTTAAATTGATCATGACAGTAAAGTAAAGACATTTGACAGTAAAGACATTTAAAATGTTACAAAAGATTTCGATTCCAAATAAAGTATCATCAAATCATCATGAAAAAAGTATCACGGTTTCTACAAAAATATTAAGCAGCACAAATGTTTTCAACTTTGATAATAATAAGAAATTTTTAAGAGAACCAAATCAGCATATTAGAATGATTTCTGAAGGATCATGTGACACTGAAGACTGGAGTAAAAAATAAATCAAACAATTGCACCCTTGGTGAGCATAAGAGACTAATTTCAAAATCAGATCAATCTCAACACTTTTAAATTTTGTACAAAAAATACCAGGATTGAAAAGAAAGTGGCACTCAAAGGTAAATTGTGCATATTCTCAGATAATGCATACAAATAGTTTCCTGAAATATTTTAATTTGAAAATATGCACAAAAATTCAAAATGTCTCTAAATATGTGAGGTCTGGAATCTTAGATAGATATTGCTCGGAAGTCTTCCTCACCAACTCAGACTAAATGGATTACCGAAACAGTTACACTAGCCTTTTTCCCAGATGTAGTGCATTGTTCTCGGATCATAGAGCAGACAGCCCAAAAGGGTTTCAATGTGATAGATATCTGCCATAGTGATGACAAGCTCTGAACTTTAAAAGGTACAAAGAGCCACAAGGAGCACGGGCACAGAATGCTGCTCATCTGGCTGCACGGTGTGATTACCGCTGGACAAAACCCTATCAAAAGCTTGTACGAAGGTCTGATTGGAATCTCAAGGATCGACCTGGCAGGTGAATTCATCATTACAGTTCATGTGTTTAAGCTCTGTTCCTAAACCTATTCTAATGCATCATATGTGCATTATTTCTGACTCAGTTTGTCAATCTTTTAGGCAGAATTGCAATTGCTTTTTGGAAGGCAATCCTAGAGTTCGATTTTAACCCCCTGGGGTCGACCACCTCGCTTTTTTCTTATCAGTACAAAAGAGACTCAAATAACTTTTTGTCATACAGATAAGTGTTATACATTATTCAAAACTGTTAAGTGTCTACTTTGATTTGTGTACACACAATAATTACAAAATGTTGTGCTTTTTGCAAAATAACAAAATCAAACAGGATGGGCATTCTGTCGTCTCTCTCAGTGAGGTCCATTCTGAAACGCTCAAGAAAATGAACTGAAACTCAGCGAATACTTGCCACACAGACATGAAAGTTATGTCAGTACAGTACATTTATAAAGTAGGTTTCCAGTTGGGTTAGATGTTGGATTTTGAACTAAATCTGCCTCACTTGTAGCTTATATTGGCCAAGATCTGATAACTTAGAAATGAAAAAATAGACATATTAGGATCAACCAAAGTTTTACATGCCATTTTAACTAGGATTACGCCTTAGAAGATTGTAAGCAGAGAGGAAACTCTCTGGGTTTTGTAACAGATCTACTTAGTACTTATTAGTATTTTTAAAAAGTTTCATTGTCTTTCACCTTCCCTCATTTATAACTTTCTTTTCTTCCATAAAGAAAGCATGCGACAGCAGGCAAATGCGGATCCGTCTTCTGCTAAAAAATGCACTGCAATGTGATGGGAGATACATTGAGATCACTCTGGATTGAGCGCAAACCAACCAGAAGATTGCTTTTGAAACACAGAGAACTGAGGAAGCACAAATACTACCTAAAATACAACCTCAGTGATGTGACTTAGAAGAAAACATTGCCTGTTCACAACAAGAGCAAACATTCACAGCAAACCAGACTTTGGATTGAAACTATACGTTTCTGTGGATCCAGATCCGTTATTTTAGGAGAACAGGTAGATATTGTTTCTTTTCTTTGTCGAAAAATTCACAAAGCAATAACATGTCAACTTTTTGGTCATGCTGAAAGAATTTTTTATGAATTTCAGAAGAATTTCTGATTCATTCTTTATGTCTTTCTGTCCTTTATTTATTTGTAGATGCAGTTCCCCTTCGTCAGCTCACTATGACGTACGTCAGAAGTGATTCTGACAAATGGGGATCTCGCTCGAGAGCCTATCTACTTCGATTGTACTTCGATTGTAACTAAACGAGCCAATGCACATTGGCATGCAATAATTTCACTAGCTGCTGTGCATCACGCCGCGAGCATATAATGAGCGGCAGGTGCATCGCATCCTTGTCTTTCGCTTCGGAGCCAGACAGTGAATGCTGTTCCTGCTCTGCAATCTTATCTGAGAGTGTTTTAACTTCAAAAGACGAGTCTGCTTCTTCAGGAGAATGCCTCTTCAAGCTGGTGTTAGTGTTACAGCGCAGACAGCGCTGGCCGCAATCTCACAGAAAGCAAAACAGCTGTTTTCACAGCTCAGAATGTTGCGCCTTCAATGAGAATGTGAGTGCTCACATCAGGCTTGCACTATCGTCCTGTTTGTGTAGCCGCATTCATCCCTGGGTGCTTCAGCACCAGAGAGAGCAGTTTCTTGAAAGAGCATACAAGAAAAACAAGGATGCGATGCGCCTGCCGCTCATTATATGCTCGCGCCGCGATGCACAGCAGCTGGTGCAATTATCTCATGCCAATGTGCATTGGCTCGTTTAGTTACACTCGAAGAAGATAGGCTCTCGAGCGAGATCCCCATTCGTCAGAATCACTTCCTCGGGGAACGAGGGTTACTATACGTAACCGAGACGTTTTTCTGCTAAAATTTTTATTTTTAAGAATAGAAGCAAAACTAATGCTAACACTGCTGCATTACCCAGGATACTGGGAAACACATATTTTATGTGTGTTTAAATGTGTCTAATGTGCAGTACTGTTTGAGTCCCCCCTGACTGAACACCCTGTTGATTATTATAGGATTCGCCAGACTGAAAGCCTGAACTTTTGGATATTGTACATATGTTGTTATATGATTGTGGGAAAAAAAGAGAGAAGACTGTGGTATGAAAATAAGAAAATAAACCACCACAGTATTTTATGCAGATTATAGCTTGGTTAACAATACTGACATCTCGATTTTAATCATTCTCATTTTGATATCCATTCACTAAGCCCTATTTTGTAGCGCGCCTACCATCCAATAAGCTTTGTTTTGTTAATTTCATACAAAAGAAAGTTTTAGCTTTCAAATGATTTTCAATTTTATTATGAAATTCAAACAATAGATACCATTTGGTGCTCTTAAATGAGCCATGACAGATTGCTGTAGCGATGAACCGATCATCAGTAGGTAAGTTAAAAGATACAGTACAACCTACTGAAATATATATGTCCCATGTAATCGCTCAATCAGTGTTTCAAAAGCGGAAAGACGGAAAACTTTCAATATTATAGTAATACCAACTGACAGGGTTCCCTGTATAGTTTTTACAGCATTACTTGAGAGAGATTTTTTTCCTTGAGAAAAAATAACGTAGGCTACTGTACCTGATATCCAAAGCGATATTGAATCGAGATTGAAAATTAATCGAATCTCAAACTTCGAAATTTGAATCAAAATGTATCGTGAATCATGGAATTTGTGTCAATACCAGCCCTAATGCAAATGTATTTAATTATTCATAATTTCTGGATATGTTCAGCCTGCCTAAGCAAGATATATGTAAATGTTGGTTGTAATGTTTAACAAGCCTGCAAACGTGCAAGACAAAATCTTACCGAAACTGTTTGATTTGTAAGTGTACTTGTTTGGCAGAGTCACAGTATGCAGCATGACCAGCAATGTTGTTGTTTGTTTGTTTGTTTTTTAATTAAAATTAATTGTAGATTGCACTTTAACTATATCTTTGTTGTAGCTATAATGACTTGTAAGCGTTTTACTGGATTGTGACTGAACAAGAAATTCAGTGCTGAACTGAAACAGGTCTTGTTAAAAGTTAATATTGACATATGAAAATGTTTTTGAGGTAAGATGCAAATTGGCAGACACCTGTGGTTCTTGGATAGTAACCACACAATACCTACAAATTGCATTATGTACACAAACCCAACTGTGTTGTGACGCCACCTAGTCAAGTGCATCACTGTTCTCAGTTTTAAAAGAAGCTGTGCTGTTCTCATCCAGTCTACTATCAACAGCAACCGTATTTGAGGAACATTCAGCTATTTTCTTTTGGAATGATGTTGCAAACTGTCCAAGCAACTGGCTCATTACACAAAAATCTGTGTTCCTTTATTTTTGTTGATAGAAGGTTTCCTCCAACGAAGTATTAGTGGTGTATAACAAGTATTAAACTTGTTAAGGTGCTCTGAGTGTCTATAACATATGCTGCCGTTAAAGACAGCATGAAACGGAAGTTACGATTGTCTTTTCTTCCCTATTGTGATGTATATCAGAGTAAAAAGGCTTCTTGAACAAGAAAAAAATGTAGGGCAGGACTTGATTTTGTCCATGGGGAGATGATTGGTTTGCTATTGGTGGATGTCATGTGAGTGACGGGTTGTCCCGCCCTCACGCCAGTAAACACGTCATCACAGAAGAGAACAGATGACGCTGCAAAAGGGAGAAGTTATTTTGATTAAAGATTATGAAGGAACATGAATTTAAAAAAAATATATGTGCACGGATTAATCATTTATAATAAACACTGCAATATTCAATTTAAAAAAAAAGAATTTGTTCATTTTGATTTCATGCCGACTTTAATGTGCTGGCTTTTTCCAAAAAATATTTTGACGTATCAGATCATAATATAATGGTACTCAATGAATACTATATACATATACCAGGATATTCAGATGATACTGGTCCAAAAAAACAACAAACAAAAAACATGCTGCTTATACTTTAAATAGGATCAAGAATCTAACTTACTGTGTTGTAGACTTGAATTTATTTGCATGCCATAAAATCCTAATTCATTGATATGATTCTTATGTAAACACTGATAAATCTTTAATAATTAATACTGTATAGCTATAACAGTGTTTGAATTGTATGGTAATGCTTTAGTGGTTCATTTGTGGTTTATAACTGTAGATTTGTATTTACAAAAGCTCCTTCTCAACAGAAAGAAAATACTAATAAATATAAGGTCAAATTATTACATTACAAACAAGGCAGAAAAGGCAGATTTGCACTCAATACAGAATTATTATTAGAAAGAAAAAAAGTATGAGTTTAGCAAATGCAAAACTTGTAATTGAATTACTGTAATTTAAATTAGTTGTAAATCTACAACAATTATCAATATCTGGCTTTTGTGGTAAAACGGTTTTATTTTAAGTAAATAATGACACATTTTGATTTGTTTCCAAATCAAGGACTCCTCATAGGTCATTTGGAAAAAGTGAAAGATTTATAAAATCTGGTGTTGAAATTAGTTTCATTTTATATCAGTGCATGACTCAAATAAACAACAGAGATAATGATGCTGACAACATTCATACAAAAAAAACAAACAAATTCAAAACAGAAAATAACACAAACATACAAAAGGCAGAAAAATAAATTCAAGGAGTAAAAAGTGCGTTTTACGTATATTGTGTAAGGCAACCGGGTCGAAATACGGCATTATATGAAAACCCTAACTGTGTAATCAATTTCACTTATTTACAGTCATAATATTATATCAAAATATTGTTTATTTCCCATAAAGTAAAAATAGGCTCTATAAAGTCCATTCACATTTAACTGACTTAAAGGTAATAGAAAAACAGAATACCGAAACGTGATCTCTAAATGTTGTATAGCTAAATCTGGTCAAATTCAGGTCCTGATTCATCTATTCATCATTCAGAAAATGTTTGCATGAAGCATCTATGATTCATCATCACTCTCACGGTTGTTGCTCAGATTTGTCCTTTGCACCTCCAGCTCCTCTGCGCTGACCATCTCTGGACTGATGGCGGCGTACCGTGTCCCATGAAACTGGCGCAGGTGTATCTACAGATTAACAGTGCAAATTAACCAGAGTAACAGTGCAAATTAAGCACCTGAAATCACAACACCACCAGGGGCCCTATTTTAACGATCTAAGCACATGGTCTAAAGCGCACGTGTCTAATCCACTTTTGCTAGTTTGATGACGGGATAAATGGTCTAAAAGGGTTGTCCCTATTCTCTTATTGAGTAATGGGTGTGTTTTGGGCGTAACGTGCAATAAACCAATCAGAGTCTCATCTCCCATTCCCTTTAAAAGCCAGTTGCACTCAGATTCGCTATTCACATGGCGGAAGTGGAAAAACTGAACGCTTCTCCAGAGAGCAAACGGATCTGCTCCTGCGCGAGGTTAAAGCGAGCAAGCAAACCATCTACGACCATCTACATTCCACCATATCTTTGTGTACACAATAATAATCTTTTACATTGTAATCCTTTTATTTTTAAAAATTGGAATGTTTGTGTGCTGCTGCATGTGTGTGTAATAAGCAGAGTGTGGGTGCGTTGTGCAGATTACTAACTCGCCCTTTAAATAACAAAAATGCCATTGACATTAGACCAGGTTTTTGTTGGTCAATCAATGGTGCAGTCTATTTCAGTTGCCTCAAAATAGCAACGCACCAACAATGCGCCTGAACACACTTTGGTTTCAGACCAGCACGCCCATGGTGCGCAAATGCATTTGCTATTTAAACAATGTACCGCATGACGTGAAAATGATAACTGCGTCGGGCTGAAACTAGCAAAAATCACTTTCGTCACACTGCATTGCGGCGGGTGTATATTAGAGCCCGACCGATATAGCCTATCGGCGGGCCGATATTATCGGCCGATTTTAGGCATTTTCCTAACTATCGGTATGGGCATTTATAATGGCCGATAAATGAATATTTAAAAAAATGTGGGTGCGGTGATTCATGTCAGGGTGGCGCTGCCAATAAAGCACCTAAAAGCTGTCACAAGAACTGGCAAAAGTAATGATTATGAATACAACAAATATGGCAAGGAGACATTTTAATTGTTTATTAATAAACAAGTGTTTTCAGTCAGTGTCAGCCAAAGATGAAGTTGACGATGCCGACTCGCGATCTTCAGTGAACGCGTGTCAGAGAGAAATGCACATTTCATACGATTACATAAGTCTGTCGGTCTTTCGTTTTGAATTGTTCTGTTTAAAAGTATTTT